AAAAAATCAAGTATAAAACAATTAGTCTAATTTTAAAAGTTACATAACATAAAATGCATGCATAAGAGCAATAGATAAATACATGCAAAAAGTGTTAATATAGTTAACTCTGAGTGATTTTTAAAATCTTCTTCCTTATGAATTCTTATAATTACAAATCCTCAAAATGAATTCATATACTGCTTTTATAGTGAGAAAAATCAAAATAAATGTGGCCCTTGTTTATGTGACTTTTATATTCTTAGATGTCTGCTTCTTTTAGAATTCTTTTTGCTGCAAGGAATGGAAGTGTCAAACTAAGTGGTATTTTCTATCTCGTGTTTCAGGATGGCAGACTATGGAACTGGCTGACTCAGAGCTCTGAATGAGCTTGTCTGCCCTCACACGGTTTCCCCTTTATGATTGAAAGTTGTTTGTCATCATTCTAAGTCTCAAAGGCAGAAAGAAGGGGGACTTCTCATTATAGATCTCCCTTTCCCTTAGCCCCCAGCAATTCCTCTTAAATTGGTCAGAATGGGACACAGGACTAACCCTTAAGCAGTCACTAGCAGAGAAGGGGATTACCTGAACACTTTAAGGGCATGGTTCATCTTGTGGGACAGGGCTCCATGTACCTGAACACTCAGCAATCTGATAACTGGGGGAAAAAGTAGGCTCTTTTTTTTTTTTTTTGGTGTGTGTGTGTGTGTATGTGAGAGGGAGAGAGGTGGAGAGAGAGAGAGACACTGTGTGTCTGAAAAATAGAAATAATGCCTTTTGGGTGAGAAAATAGTAGTACCTGTCATAATCACCAATTAACTTTCAAAATAAAATCGAGACTATATATACACCACAACTTTAAGGAACACATAATTTAAATACAAAGCAAAAAGACTAAATGCAGTTCTTGGGACATAGTAATTGCACAATAAATGTAGATTTAAAAGAAAATAACAGATTTTCATTGTTTTTCACAACTTAAATCCAAGCATTTTAAACTCCAGTGAGTGGACGCTTCACATGATACATAGAGTAGTTTCTGCCTAGTTAATGACTTTCTTGGGACATGTTTTATTCTTCCTTTGGTTGTTCATCTGTTTGTACAGGGTGTCCCAAAAGTTGTCATACATTGGGAAATAGTAGCAAAATGTATCTTTATTTACAAAATAGTCATTACAAGATTTTGCAAAATATTTACAAAATATTCTGTTAGCCACCTCTTTATAAAATTTTGTAATGATTATTTTGTAAATAAAGACATATTTAGCTATAATCTTCCACTTCCCTAAGTAAGGTAACTTTGGGGATGCCCTGTGTAATTAGTCCTTTGGGCAATAAATTTTCTTAAGTTTTTAAAATTCTGGCCATTATTTTAGATTCAGACAATAATTGTCAGGTAAATTAATAAATAAATGGTAACTTGAGGTAGACTTCCTATAAAGGTCATGAAGTTCAACTTCAAAGCTTCTCACTTATCTAGCCCACTCCCAAGGCCCTGGAGAAGACATTATTATACAGTGTTTTTATAAAATTAGCAGAACTAAGATATTTTAATACCAGTTGGCTAAGAATCTCTCTTTCTACTCCTACTTTGTCACACTTGCTCTCAGAGGTAGTCCTGGAACGCCTGTGGAAATCTTTGTGACCCAGGCAAGGGCAAGTTGAATTAAAGATACCTTTAGATTGACTCTAGAAGGATATTATGTGGTTCTTGGTCAACTTTTATACCTATTTAAGCCATGAGTAACCATTAAAGTAAGCTTCTAGGCATAGCTCTATATAAAATATCCACTTGTACTTACTCACCTGGCATAGTGACAGGAAAGGGTAGGGAAAGAGTTCATGTCATAAAACGGACTTGTCCAGATATATGGTATGATCAGTAAGGGAAAGGCCCAAAGTGCACAGAAGCTGATCAGTAAAAAGTTCCCCTAGTCCTCATCACATGTACCCTGAGGTGGCCCCAACACGGCACAGTAAGCATAAGCCCATCCTCTGGAACCTATGACTTGCTTCCAACCACACATTACCTATGTCAAATTAATAAAATGTCTTTCCTTAATTAGGTTACATTATAAAACAAAGGGGGTAGGATGTCAGTCCTGTGATTATATTATATAAGATACTATCTTCGCAAACTGAAGAAAGAAATCCTCCTGCTCTTGAACAAGTAAACAGTCCTGATGTGAGCTGCCTTTGCAGAGAGTCATGTGGTGAAGAACTGTGGGCAGTGATTTTTAACCAGTGTGCCGCGGCTTGCCTGTGTGCCATGAGAGGATCTTAAGTGTGCTGCAAAAAATTTTAAAGATCATTAAATTATTTTTGAAAGAAGTTCAAAGCGGTATGTACATTCTGTTTTTTTACTTAAAAAAAAAAATCAACATAATTCAAGCGTGCCATGAGATAAAAAAGGTTGAAAGACACTGCTCTAGGTAGGACCTGAGGGTAACCTCTGTTAAATACCCAATAAGAAGCTGGGAACCTCAGTTGTACAGATGTAAGGAAATAAATTTTACCAACAACCAGAATAAGATTGGAAGTGAATTCTTTACTGAAGCCTCCAGGGATGTGCCCAGTCTGGCCAGCACCCTGATTCTAGCTGGTGAGACCTGAGCAAAGGACCCAGTTCCATGCATAGGCTCCTTTCTCACAGAAGCTGAGAGATAAATGTGTGTTGTTTTAAGTGACTAAGTTTGTGGCAATTCATTAGGCAGCAACAGAAAACTAATATACTAATTAACCTCACCCTTTCTACTAAACCATTCCTTCTGGCATATAAAAATGCCCTGTTATTTTGAATCTTTAAAAAATCTTTTTCAACCATATATTCAATTTCAGCTTCACTCCCACTATCCATTTCTATACTCTCATATCCAGAAAACTTCTCAAGAGTTGTCACACCTGATAATTCTTCACCTTCCTTTTAATCCTCAATCTCTGTTAACTTGGATCCTGCCATGACTACTTCACTGAATCTCTTCTCGAGATCACCAAAGATAACCCTATCATCAAAGCTAATGGAGATTAGCTTTGTCCTGGGCTTACTGTAATTACTCCTTCTGTAAGGAGCTCAGGTGGAGGAGCTCTTTACACCTTCACTTGCACCACATCCAGGTGAAGAATGAAGTGGTTGGGAGTCCAAGGTCAGCATGCCATAATGGCTGGTTTCTGGAGAAGGGCTTCCTCCAAATTTTCAGACAGCACATTAAGCAGACAGCAGGAGGGGGAAGAGTGGGGAAAGAGGAGGAGGGAGGGGGGGAAGAGGAAGACAGCAAGCTCCAGTCTTTTTTTAAAAAAATAAGGGTACTAATACCATCATGAGGGTCTCACCATCATGACCTCATCTAATCCTATCTCCCAAAGGCTTCACCTCCTAATAGCATCATATTAGAGGTTAGGGCTTCAACAGATGAATTTAGAGGGACATAAATATTCAGTCTGTAACAATGTCTAAGGGGGCCAGTTCAAGTAAATCATAATGCCCTCCCTAAGAAGTCCCATTGCTAATTTTCTTATCACTGTACAGTGATGTTTCCATTTTCAGGTATCTGCACATCATCCATTGATCACTCATGAAAATAGTCATTGTACTAAAACAGCATTCAGCACCCATCTGAATGATGCCTGTATGAAAATCTCCCTTTTCATTGGTCTAGTATGTTTCTAATTCCACTAAAGAGGAGGAAGAGTTTTTCTTTACACTCTGAGAAGTGGCAGAAGCTGGAAGAAAAAGTCCAGTGTCAGTACCCACTGGAATCGGACAGTGATAAACCTGCACCTATCCACTCCCCTCTGTGAGACCATCCCCTCTCAGTTCTCCTGTTACCTCACTAGCAGTTCTTTCTCTCATTTTTCACTCCTCTTCATCTACCTAACATTTATATGGGCTCATACTTAGGGTTTCTTGGTTTGTCTCTTTTCCTCCTTGAGGATATCACCAACTTCTGTGTGTATATACATAATTATATGTTTAGCTCAGACATCTTTCATGTGCTACCGATTCATAGATACAAATTTCTCCTGATTCATAGGTACAAATTTATCTATTAGGAATTTTAAACTCTGTAAGTCTTTATGTTATAATTAAATATTTATTTCTCATTTAAACTTCTTTCTTATCTATTCTTCTCTTCTTGGTAAAAGCACCCACATCCACCTTCTTTGTTCAAGCCCGTATTTACCTTTCACTGGTATCTTATTTCTGGTACATCAACAAGTCCATTTGATTTAATTTACAAAATATTTCCCAAATCTGCTGCTTTTTCCTTTTGGTGACTGATTTCGTGCTGTCGTGTCACCTGCCCTGGCCAGTTGGGCGCAGCCTCCCGGGCCTCCTGCTCTCCCATTACCCACCTCCATCGGGCAGCCATATGCTCTTTCCGCTTCAAAGTCAGCAATAAAGAATTTCTCTCACATTGAATCCCCTATACATTTGTAATCTCTAGATTCTTTCTCTATATGAGAGAGGTAGAAATTTTATTTAAGTAAAAATATTATACCTTACTGAAAATTATATGATACACAAAATGAAGGTATATGCTAATTTTTAAAATCTTGCAGTCATTTCGTCAAATATCCACTCCTACAAGGAAATACAAGTTCTAATGTTACTGTGCCCAACTACAGATTTTCTAAGAAAGCGTGGGAGTCAAGGAATAAGAAAGAGCTGAGCTGTCCTGGAGCCGCGTACCATTAAGAAGTTCCTTTCTCGCACTCAAAAAATGAAAGAACCAGATTGGACGACCCGACGTCTCCTATAGTTCTAGAAAATTACACGATTCTGTTAAATCTGAGAATGCCCCAAGATACTGACGGGGACTATTCGTTAAGCGCGATAAATAGAAGGCCCGCTGTAAACCGCGTCTGCATCCCACTGGCCCCGCCCCGCGGCAACGCCCAACCGGAACCTAGGGTGCCGCTAGGGCTGACGGGAAGATGCTGCCCGGCTCTCGCTTCATCAGTTCCGCCCCTCTGGCGACGTCACGCCCGCCCCTTGACCCCCCCCCACAACCCCACCCCCCCCTTCACTGCCTCCCTTGGCCAGCGGCAGCTACTCGGGCGACAATGGCGGGATCTGTGCCGGTGCCCGCCCCTAAGGGTGAAGGGGCGTCCTGCTCTTCCTGGGGGACGGGCAGGTGAGAGGTCGATATGGGCAAGGAAAGGCGACAGGCGGCGGCGGCAGGCTCCGGCTTCTGCTTTCCCTGCGGGCCGGCCTCTGCAGGAAAGTCTACTTCCCGCTCCTGCAGCGACTTTGGGTTCCGGTTGGGGTCCCCGGACGCGGGCCGCTTACTTCCTGTCGGGGGCAGCTGCGAGCGCGGCGCTCGGCCTCCGGTGCCCGCATCCGACCGCTTCGGGGAGGCACCGGGAGGTGGCCCTGGCACAGCTTTCACCTCCGGATCTGAGCCCAGGTTTCCCCTTCACGCCACTCCGGCCCTGCAGAGTCGGGGTAGATGGGGCTGGGCCTTAGCGGTGTCTTGCTCAGTAATTCCCCTTTCGGTGGTCTCGGCTAGAAAAGGAGAAGCTGCTCTGTCCGCTGTCTGGATACGCACAGACAGTGCTGGGTGCGCGGGTTTCGGCCGGGTTGCGGCGCCCGCGAACCTGTGGCTTCCGCCAGTGTCTTGACTGAGGCGCCCCCAGCTCTGCCAGCGCCGCGGAGTTGGCCGCACGTGCACCGGGCTGCTCAGGGACCTTAGTGTTTTTAAATGTTCTTGAAACATTCCAATGAGGCAGAACTTTCTGAAAAGTGCCAGTCATACGTGCAGTGGCAGCAACTGTCTACTGCTTTGCTCTCATAGTTGCCGTCAGGAGTTTTTGTGATAGTTATTCCCTTAATTATGTAGAAGCTGAGACCATTTGATGATGCCAGCCACTGTTTGGTAAGATAAGTGATAACATTTTAATTACCTGTATTTACAAGTCCTTTGGCTTGTCAATGCCAAGCCTAAAAAATTGGCTTCCAAAGCTGAATTTTGCGTTGCCACATGTTTTCATAATCCTGTGATTGACAGAGCTTCCCAGAACCTGGAACAGTTTGCACCTTTGCTGGGACGATGTTTTCCTCTCGGAGTGGCAGAGGCCAGAAGCCACGGGCTGCTTCCGAGTTCAGTGTTTCCTACAGTATCATTTTTTTGTATGTCATTCCGTGAAAAAAATTGGAGGACACTATTGTAAATAATACATTAACATAATAAGTATACCTTATTACACTAGTATATTTATCCTTTTTTTAAATTCCTAAAATCTATTCTTTCAACAGATATTTTTATTTGGTTCCTTTATGAGAGGCTGTGGACAAGTACGATGTGGTAGCTAAGAGCTAGATTGTTTGTATTCAGATTTTAGTGTGCCATGTACTTGCTTCTGTGACCTTAGCAAGTTAATTTAAGTTAAACTCTCAGCCTCAGGCTTTTCCTCTTCCTTAGAGATGGCAATAGTGCCTGTCTCATAGGTTGTAGCAGTTAGCTGAGTTAGTACATCTAAAGCACTTAAAACCGTGTATGTCACTGTTTTAGGTATTTGGAATGCAGTAGTGAGCTCTTAAAGGCCATAGGTTCTGTTGGGAGGTGGAGGGCGAGGGCGGGCAGTGAACGGTTAATGATAAGTGATTTGAAGAAATTCGGACAGCAAGTAAATGAGTTAAGCATTGACTTAAGGATAAGAGCCATTTATTGGTAGCTGATCAGGAATGATCTGTGTAGTATTTGTAAGGCAATATTTTAATAGAGGTGTAATTGATAAGAAGTCAACTATTCTGATACATGAAGGGAGAACTCTCCAAGCAGAAGGACTAGTGTAAAAACTCTAAAGTGAGAGCAAGCTTGCCCTTTTGAGGAACATCAGGCAAGGACAGTGTGGTTGGAGACAGCAAGAAGTGAGAGTGGTGGGAGCTGAAATTGGAGAGGTAATTGGGAGACAACACAGAGGCCTTTAAAGCATGTTAAGGTGTTTGAATTTTAAGAGTAGGGTAGTTCTAAGTCGAATAATTTCTGACTACATTTTAAGATGTTAGGCTGATATGTGAAGAAAAACTAAAGGAAGGACAACTGGAAATAAGGATAGTAGTTAGGTCTTTGAAGTAGTTCAGGTGAAATGTGATGATGGTTTGAGATTGTACTGATTGAAGTAGTGAGGAGTAATAAGGTTTGATATCTCTTTTGAAGGGAGAGTAAACAGGACTCACAGGTGGAGAAAGTGAAGGTAGAATTTAGGTAATGAGATATCTACATTTCAAGCCCCACTGGGAAAGTGGTAGTACCACAAACTGAGCTGGGAGAGTGGCAGTAGTCAGTGATGCTATTTAGACACCAGAATAGAGTTATTATTCTGGCAAGTGTATAGAATCTGGGGACAGAGGAGAGATCGAATATGGAGAAATAAGGTTAGGTATCAATACAGAGTGACTTCTGTGGGACTGAAGGAGTATCTAAGGAAAGTATATATAGAGGTTCATGGAACAAAATTGCTGAAATATGGATTCATCAGAATATATGTAGCAATGATAAAATAATACGTGAGAATAAAACCATGGGCTTTATAGTCTTCTAGTATACACAGGACAGGGCAAGGAATCAGTGATTTAATTTCAAAGCGTTTTAAAAATCTAAAGTGGCATGTATTTGGTTTGTAAAATCTTTTAGTAACTTGTGAATCTGATCCCATGTGTCATCAAATATTATAGAATGTGAATAATAACCATACTTGCTCTTACAAGTTTTTTCTTTATCCCCAGTACAAATAAAAATCTGCCCATCATGTCCGCAGAATCTGTGGAGATTGATGATGCATTATACAGGTAAGAACCTCGTGGAAACTGAAATTTATTTCAGTTTATGTAAAAATATATACATAGATATATATATGTATATACATCTACATAAATATCTTTCCTAAGAGTTTCTCTCATGTTAAAAGTAGGGTTTCACAGATTTATTCCCCCCTCACACTGTAATCTGGAAGCTCTAATAATATTTAAAACCCAGTTGCTTTAGATTTAGGTGATAAGAAGGATTTTGCTATCCTCTACAAAATTTACCTCTTGTTTTTGGACAATAACACATATTTATGTTCTTGATAGTGCAAGAGTCTCATGAAAAACAATCATTTTTACTTCATTTAGTCATCCAGTAGCAGCTAGAGAATATGATTACTTCAGTGTAATCTCATTAAAACATTGCCTATTTGTAATTTGTAGACAGTCGAGAAATACTGTATGATTGAAGAGTTGTGATTGGAATGGAATTTAGTGGGACTTTTTAATCACTATTCATGAAATCAGAATACTTTTTTCAATAATTAAAGAAAAATTTAAAACGTATACATTGATGTCACTCCTAAGAAAATTTTTTAAATGATTGGAGTTTATATGAAAGACAGCATAGTCTGAATTTAAAAGTTATTAGATCTCCTCTATATATAACCAGGAAAAATACATTTTATGTTGGTAGAATTTGAAAAGATAAGCTTACTGTTTATTTTTAATTCCTCCTTATGTTTTTCTAGGGGAGTACAGAGTGGATAATGAGTTCTTTATTGGGAGTTGATGTACATCACTTAATATGTTGAGTCTAACATTTAATCTTCCTTATGTGAAAATAATTTTGCAGGTAGTCTTCCTGATTATAAAATTTACTTTAGGAGTCATCTTAACGTTGGATTTTTGACCTGGGAATTATATTCTTGTCCTCTTTGTCATGTTCTTGGAATTACAAATGGCAATTTCTCGGGATGTTATGGGCTAATTTTACTCATTATGTAGGTATATTTCTTGTGAAACTTTTTAAATATCCCTTCAACCTTTTAATTCTGATTTTAAAAACATAACTTTTGGCTCAGTGCCTGTGTAGCTCAGTGGTTGGGACACCAGCCATATATACTGGGGCGGGCGGGTTCAAATCCAGCCCAGGCCTGCTAAACAACAATGACAACTACAACAACAACAAAATAAAATAGCCAGGCGTTGGCTCAGCACCTGTAGCTCAAGCATCTAAGGGGCCAGCCATATACACCAGAGCTGGTGGGTTGCATCTAGCCTGGGCCTGCCAAACAACAGTGACAACTACAACCAAAAAAAAATAGGGTGTTGTGGCAAGTGCCTATAGTCCCAGCTACTTGGGAGGCTGAGGCAAGAGACTCGCTTAAGCCCAGGAGTTGGAGGTTGCTGTGAGCTGTGATGCCATGGCACTCTACCCAGGGCAACAGGTTGAGGCTCTGTCTCAAAAAGAAATAAATAAAATAAATTTGAAAAATAAAAAAATAGCCAGGCATTGTGGGCACCTGTAGTCCCAGCTACTTGGGAGATGGAGGCAAAAGAATCACTTAAGCCCAAGAGTTTGAGGTTGCTATGAGCTGTGGCAGCACATCATTCTACTGAGGGTGACATAATGAGACTGTTTCAAAAAAACAAAAAACAAGGAAAAAAACATAATTTTCAGTAGGCCAGTGACTAAATTTTTTGATTTCTTTCTTTCTTTTTTTTTTGGAGACAATCTCATTTTGTCACCCTTTGTAGAGTGCTATGATGTCATAGCTCATAGCAACCTCGAACACTTGGGCTCAGGTGATTCCCTTGCCTCAGCCTCCCAAATAACTGGGACTACAGGCACCTACCACAACCCCCAACTGGTCTCTCTCTGGCTCAGGCTGGTCTCAAATCTGTGAGCTTAGGCAATCCACCTGCCTCAGCCTCCCAGAGTGCTAGGATTACAGATGTGAGCCAAGCATGCCCAGCTAAATTTTTCATTTTCAATGCTAAGTAAATCCAGGTCCCAAAATTGTCAGCCATAAAATTACCATGTATGTGGAAAATGGGAAATGGTAGCTAAATGTACCTATATTTTCAAAATATTCATTATAAAATTTTACAAAGAGATGGCTAAATTAGAGAATCTTTTGAAATAAATATTTTGTAAATAAAGGTATCCCATTTTTCCTATGCATGGTGACTTTATGGGCACCTTTTGGGACACCCTGTAGACAGCAGTTTGCTTGACTGAAAGTTAATAGCTGTTATTATTAGAGGTTGGCTATTTTCTTTTACCTGTCAGAGTATTTTTTGGTGTAGTTGTTTGCATTTTGGTTGTATGACTTGTTGAAAACATCTTGTAGCTATTTACCAGTATACTTATGCTTATTTAAATTCTATTTCTTAAGAATTTGTCATAGTTCATGAATCAAGAAAAAATAATAAATGATCAGCCAGGAATTTGTGTGGTCCTATTAGTGAATCCTTCAACAATTACTACTTATTTAAGTTTTCTTACTAAAAATCCAAAGAAATTTGTATATTACAAAGGCCAAAATTTGAACTTTTTCACACAAAACAGCTTTTATTTTCTTAGATTTTAAAAATATAGATTTATTTTTAGCAACTATTTGGAGTTTTTTATTATTTAGTGACTAAATCTGAAGATCTGGTAGATTTTTTTTCTTTTATAATTTTAAATATGTCTCCTGTTTAATGGGAACTAGTATTAGGTTTAGGACTTTGAGCAATGATTTATTTTTGGGGCAAAACATGAAGTGAAGCTCCTTAACCTCTTACTATCTTAGGGAGGTAGATTCAGGAGTAAGCTAGATGAAGTTAAGGTAGTGAAAAGTTAGATTCCAGTAAGTTCTTGTTTCTGTTCATTCTTTTTCACACAGGCCTATTTCTGACCATTTTGTCTCTTAATGTAAGTCCAAATGCTAAAATTTAAAGAATCATTTAGAATGTGGTCCCCACTAGATGTAGTGGCTCATGCCTGTGGTCCCAAGCTACTCAGAAGGCTGAGGCAGGAGGACCTTGTGGCTCTACAGTTCAGATTCAGCCTGGGCAACTTAGCAAGACCTTGACTTTTAAAAAAGCATGGTCCCCAACTTAAATTTTTAAAAGATTGCTATTGTAGGGCAGTGCCTGTGGTTCAAGGAGTAGGGCGTGGCCCCATATGCTGAGGGTGGCAGGTTCAAACCTAGCCTTGGCCAAAAAAAAAAAAAAAAAAAAAGATTGTTATCATAGTAAAAACACATAGCATGAATTCCATAGTATCAACAAATTTTTAAGTATATTAAAGCACAGTTGACACTTAAACATTGCTGAAATTAGAGCACCAACCCCCATGTAGTCGAAGAGCCACGTGTGACTTTTGATTTCCTGAGAACTTTACTAATAGTCAGTCCACTGTTCACCAGAAACCTTACAACTAACATAGTCACTTAACGTAAACAATTAACATGTATTTGCATGTTACTTTTTTTGTTTATAACAAAGTAACAATAAAGCTAGAAAAAAGGAAATATTAAAATCATTAGGAAGAAAAAGTACTTACTATTGATTAAATAAAAGTGGATCTTCCAAAGTTCACATCCTCGTTATCTTCATGTTGAGAGGCAGGTACATGCTGTGTAACTTCATGGAAATACTGTGTTTCCCAGAAAATAAGGCACTGTCTTATATTTACTTTTTCTCAAGAAGACACACTAGGGCTTATTTTCAGGGGATGTCTTATTTTTATTAAGTATAATACAATAATCTACATTTATTCAAATACAGTTAAGTCATCTTCTTCTGGAACCTGACAGGGGGAGCTGACTTTGTTAGTGAGGCTGGGGCTAGTGATGCGTGAACTCCTTTCCCCTAGCCGTTTGCACGTGCACAATAGGATGCCTGCTCTCGTGGTAACCACACTCACACTGGCGCAAGTGCCTATGGCTGGGCTTGTAGAAAGGAGCTGTGACAGATAAAAGGTATTCCAGTCTTCCTTACCACTCCATGCCAAAATGCATGGTGTGGCTATGCAGATTCGTTGCATAGCCACACCCATCACTATGTCTTATTATGGGGTAGGGCTTATATTTAACAAATGCATAGAAATCCTGCTAGGGCTTATTTTTTGGGTAGGTCTTATTTTTGGGGAAACACGGTATAATCAGGATCCTTCCGCCAATTGTGTAGTGCCAGTTTATTTTCTGGGGCTGGTGTGGAAGTGTCCATTTGCACCAAATCACCATCCAGCCATCCTCTGTTAGTTACTTTGGTGTGGTGTCTCTTAGCTCTTGAATTTCTCCGAGGTTAGTAACTCGAAACCCTTCACCCCTACCTTTTTTGCCATACCCATAATCTCTTTCATAATTTACTTGATTGGCTCTGTCATAAGTCCTGGGAAGTCATGTACAACATCTGAACAGTTTTCTTTAGCAGGAATTGTTTGGGGCTTGATGGCTTTCACAGCTTTTCCTGTAACACTGACAGCATCTTCAGTGACCCTTCCAGCCCTTTTGGTGTTCTCTCTATTGGGGGTCTCTTCATAGCACTGACTGTCCTTTCCCTAGAGGACCATGTGTAATGAGACTTAGAGGTCCTAATGACACCCTGATTTAGATGCTCAGTTTAGAGCCCTTGTGCTTGGGGAAAGTAGACTACTTTGATACCTTTAGTGTTGAACTCATGGGGTTCTGAGTGTGCAAAGGCATTGTCCCCTGCCAAAAGAACTTTAAAAAGCAGCCTTTTACTTGGAAGGCACTTTCTGAGTTCTGGGGAAAAAAAAACATTGATGAAACCAATTCAGAAAAAGGGTTTCCATTGTCTAGGCCTTCTTTTACAGCCAAAGACGGCTTCATGAATCTGTGTGTCATCCTTTCACAGGGGCCATGCTAATCTTCTTTGTATCAAAATTGGAATTTGAGTATATGTGTTGCTGAAGTGAGTGCTACAGACAAAGACAGCTGCCAGGATTTAAGGTGTGGGGATAGCAGCTATGTAGATGAGGAAAGTCCTAATCCCAAATCTGACTGCATTTGCACAGAAAAGTAACGTTACCTATTCTCTTCCTTCCTGCCCTAAATCCTAGCAGTTGCTTCTCTTCATTACTAATAAATGTCCTTTCTTGGCATTTTTTTTCTAGAACATGGCATTTTCATCTGCCTTAAAAAACCTGTTTAGACAAATACCCTTTCTCTTCAATGATTTTCTTAATAATGTCTAGAAACTTGTTGCTGCCTCTTGGTCAGCAGAAGCCGCTACTTCTGTTATCTTGTTTTTTAAGCCAAATTTCTTTCTGAAATTACCAGCTATCTTTTGCTGGCTTTGGATCCTTCACCATCCTTTAACTTTAAGTTGTCATGTAATGGCTTTGCTTTCTCTTGAATCCTATTAGAGTAGATGCCTTTCTTATAGCAATCCTGCACCACCGACATGAGTGCTGCATTTTTAATATGTAATAAAAAGGTCTTTCACAGAAGTGCAGGGTTTTCTTACTGGCTGACATAGCCGCAACTATGGCTTCATGAATTTCTTTTTTTCTACAATGGTCCTTATGCTGGATCCATTTACCTTGAAATGGCTGGTAACCACAGTACAAACCTAAGTCTGCATTTGAAGTAATTCAGCTTTTCTTTGCAGTGTTGGTAACTTTTACCCTTTTCTTTGGAGCACTCCCAGTATCACTGACAGCACTGGGTATGGGTTCTATGAGGGTTCCACTCAACACATAAAAAATAGGCAAGAGCCTCAGGAGATCACTTTTTACTGTAGTACTGTTTCCTAGAGGGACTGACTGCTTGTGCACAGGTGATTGATGTCATGTAGTGTTTGAAGCTAAGCACTGTCATACCCTGCAAGACTGGAGCTCACCAGGACAGCCACAGGAGGGAGCTGTGAGATACTGTGGTGTTTTCCGTAGTGAACTATTTGCAGTGAGACTTTTTTTTTTTTTTTTGAGTTGAGGCTTTAATGTTGCTGCCTTATGTCTGTACATTTCCCTCAGCTGCAGATGGTGCTGTGTACAGTCTGTTTGTGTGCATATGTTTTCATAAATTTTAACTTCATAATGCGTGTGTATTTTATGGTAGGGAATTATAAAGTAGACCACTATCTACAAATATGTTAGACATTTATGACATACCTACCTTTTATAATTACTTTTTCAATATTTTTAGGTTGCACAGTTTGAGTTTTTCAAATGGTCACAAATCTCCAGGCACTCTTCTGTATATTTATTGGAAAAAACCCATGTATAAGTAGATCTGTGCAGTGCCAAGCTGTGTTGTTCAAGGTTACCTATGCTGTTAACTCTGTGAACGTTTTTATACAGCAGATCTCTAGAATTTTATCATCTTGGGTGACCAAAAACTTTGTGCCCAGAGTATAGCAACTCTGTTTCCCTTCCTCCCTGCTCCTAGCACCCACCATTCTAGTTTCTCTTTATGGAAGCTTGGTACTTTGAGTATTAACAACTCACATAAGTGAAATCACGTGGTAATTGCCCTTCTGAGACTGGTGTATTTTACTTAACACAGTATCTTCAAGGGTCATCCGTGTTGTACAATATGATAGGCGTTTCTTCCTTTTTAAAGACTGAATGATGTCTATTTTACGTATATTCCACATTTTCTTTATTTACTTGTCAGTGGCCATTTAGATCATTTCCACCTCTTGGCTTTTATGAATAATGCTGCAGTCAATGTGGAGTACAAATACTTCTTCAAGATCTTGATTCCGTTTCTTTTGGATAAATACCCAGAAATGGAATTGCTGGATTATATGGTAACGATTAATATGGCTTCAATTTTTTGAGGGGCCTACTCTTTTCAATAGCAGCTTTACCATTTTATATTCCCACCATCAGTGCACAAGGGTTCCAGTTTTTATACCTCTTTGCCAACACTTTTTTTTTTAATAATGGCCATCCTCATAGGTGTGAGGTTATGTCTTATTGTGGTTTTGCTTTACATTTCCCTGAAGACTGGTGATGTTGAGCACTTTTTCATATATGTGGTTGCTTTTATAAGAAACCCACTCCAGCAATAGTGACATCCAGTCTGGAGCACAGGGCTTCCTGACTGAAACACCTCCCAATAGTTGCCACCTCCCAGCACAATGGCATTGAGTTTTAAGTTTCTAACACAGGAACTTTGGGTTTACATTCAAACTATGGCACCTTGGTTCACTTATTATAGTTTTATTAGTTTATCTGTTTGCTCTTAGCATTTATAACCGTGTTTATGTCAGAGTTATTCATTGTTTGCCTAAGTAATCTTAAAAATCATGAGGACAAGACCAAGACAAAAACCATTTTGAACATAGTAATGAAAGCACTCTGTGATAAGTATAAAATAGATTGGCTGTTAAGGATGTACATAAAAGATCGTCCAACACCATTTTGAGAAAGGATAGGGGAATCAGGAGAAGCATCAAGGGGAAACTAATGAGATTTAAAGGATGAGTAGGAGCTATTCAGACATAGAATATCAGGGGAGAAGAACACCCTAGGTGAAACTCTAAAGACCAAACAGATCGTAGGCAACCAAAAACCTTTAGTACACTTGGAACTTGGAGTAAGATGATGTAAGATGAGGCTGTAGAGCTAAGCAGGAACTACACAGGTGGCCTTGTGACCAATAGTAAAGAGTCATTAGACTGTCTTATAAGGAAAATAGGAAAACACTGGAGTTTTTAAAGCAGGAGAATGATTTGACCATATTTATACTTCAGAAAATTCCTGTTTCTTAGTAGGAAGTTAATAGATAACATGTAAAACTGAAAAAGAGCAATAAGTACAAGTACAAACCTGCTGTGTAGAAATAAGGTGTAAGTATTACAAGAAATGACAAAAAGACTGAGACTGGTTATCCTTGGGGAATGGGAATCAGTGTAGGAAAGAGGTCATGGAACTAATTGTTTTCTCTCTCTTTTTCTCCTCTTTCTCATAAACCTGTGGAATGATTCAACTTCCTTAACCTGTATGCATTGTAACATAGTGGTTATGGGCATGGGTGCAAAGCAGACTTCCTGGGTTGAATGCTTGTAAATCACTTAATTTCTACATGTTTATGGTTTTTGACTTGTAAAACTGGAAGTGATATTAGAAATTACCCCATAAGATTTTGTGAAGATTAAATAAGTTAATACAAGTAAAACACTTAAAATAACATGTGCACGTTTGTAGTACAGATTCAATAAGTGTTAGCTATTGTTGTTGCCTGCCAGGTACTCTTCAGGTACTGGGATACAGAGGAGGAACAGATTCACAGTTGAGAACATTGTGTCTTTACCAACTGTAGAGCATCCATTTTTTTCAGGAACACATGGAATGTTTGTAAAATTGACCAAAGAAATTCTCAAATGTCGAGGGATGAAATTGTACAGATTGTGATATCTACATAGATTACATTTAAGCCACAAGTCAACACAAAAGGTCACTAAAAGTTTCCCATAAAGTTAACAGTTTAAATATATGTGGTGCCTATAGCTCAGCGGGTAGGGTGCCAGCCACATACACCAGAGCTGGTGGGTTCAAATCCAGCCCAGGCCTGCCAAACAACAATGACAACTACAATCAAAAAATAGCCATGTGTTGTGGTGGGCACCTGTAGCCCCAGCTACTTAGGAGGCTGAGGCAAGAGAATCGCTTAAGCTCAAGAGTTTTAGGTTACTGTGAGCTGTGATGCCACAGCATTCTACTGTGGGTGACAAAATGAGACTATGTCTCTAAATAAATAAATAAATAAATAAATAATAAAAATATACTTTGGATTGATACAAGTCAAAAAATCATAATCAAAATTGGAAATTAAAGTACTCTCATCAAATTGTAAGACACTTTTAACAATGACATTATTTACATGAATATTTTAGAAAAAATCTGAAAATGAATTATTTCAGATAACTGGCAAAAAATAAAATAGAAGAGTGGATTTATTAACATAAGGAATATTCCAAAAGCCAAGTTCACTGTTGCCTTGCAAGGACTAACTCCGTAAGTAGGCCCTTCTAAAGATCAGGCCTGCAGAGTGAGAGTGTGAGACTACAGAGACTTTTATATACTGCCATATAGAGAAAATTGGTACATTTACTTTGGAAAACAGTGTGGCATTATTTAATAAAATTGAAGATATACATACTCTTTAATCCTGCAGTTCCGCTCCTAAGAATATGCATTAGAGAAACAGCTACAGTGTGCACCTGGAGACATTTACAAGAATGACCAGAGCCCCATTATTGGTAACTGTCACAAATTGCAGAATAGCTAAATAATGGCATATTATTGTAATAGAATATTACAATGTAGTAGAATAACAATAGAAAAGAAAATTAATGACAAGCTGCATGGACCATTACAAATAAATCTTTTTTAAAAAGCTTTTCTCACATTAAACAGATATTGTGTCCATGTCATAACAAGATTTGAGGAAGGGAAATCTTACACATAAGTGTGAAAACCCAATCATCATGTTTGTGAACTATAAAGGGATCTAAATCTTAAATATAATTTTACTCAAAAGAATTAAGATGGAAAACATTCAGAGTAATCCCATCCATGTAAAGTTTAAAAACAGGCAAAACTTCAGTGTGTTGTTTAGGGGTACACAGGGGTGATAAGACCATAGAAGACAAGTCTTACTTTCTAAAACAGGTATCTTGAATATCAATTTAAAAAAAAAAATTTTAGTTTTATTATCTGTATGTTTTTGATTTCTTTTTTAGGTAACAAGGAAGGAAATGACAGATGGCTTTTAAATAGTATATAAAGATTCATCTGACTACATAAGAAACTCCTTTTTAGGCTTTTATATTGAATATGAAAAGCTGAAATAATGGAAACTAAACAAAGATTTATTAAATAAATGTGTTAATTTTGAAAATAAATATTTGTAACCCAAGGCATTCTGAAATTATTTTACTGAACTCATCTTTCAAAGGATTCTCATTAGAATTCATTGGAGTTTATATTATCTTTAAGGATAGCATCAGGTTTCCCATTAGTTTTTCTGATGAATTCTTGCTGTTGACTTTAATAATATATCTGACTTTGATGTTGCCAGTGTATATTTTTTTCAAAGTCTCACCCTGATACTACCTTGTAACTATTAGGGTACATAACTTAATAGGGTTTCTTTGTATATTTAATTAGCTTTTACATTTAAAATAATAATTCAGAAACTGCTTAATTTTAACTTATCTGAATTCTAAGAATTCAGAACAGAATTTGCTTCAGAAAATCTGTTCATAGTGAAAGTTGTGAAGTGGAGATGGCTCCTGTGGCAGTAAAGGAGAGGAGCAGGCAGGCACTGAGTGTCGGGTCTGGAGTGCACAACACCCCCCCCCCCACGCACACACTCCCATCTCACAAGACGGCTCTTGTTCAATTCCGTCTGCCTGTTGCCTATGGGAATGTGCATCATGGTGCCAAACCATGAAATTTTTCAAAATACCTCATGTATTTGGCAATTAATTCAGAAATGTTTAAACATTGTACAAATCATTCTCAATAATTTTGTGGGCAATATCTAGTTCTTAGGCCATTAATTTGCAAACAACTTTAAGGATATTTATTATAATTTTGATGAAATCATTTTTTATTTTTCATTTTGTTTTACATATAGTCGACAGAGGTATGTCCTTGGAGACACAGCAATGCAGAAGATGGCCAAGTCCCATGTTTTCTTAAGTGGTATGGGTGGTCTTGGTTTGGAAATTGGTAAGCAGTATTTGTATTCATAATTTTGTGTGACACTTTTGAGCAACATAAGATAATGAAAGAATTTGACTTTTCCCCTTGTATTTCCTATAAAGGAAATTTGATCTAGAACCTTGATCAAATTCAGTTTTCATTGTTTTGGCAAGACTGTTTCTTGATACTGTTATATTCTTCCACAAAGAAGTGATAATTACTCTCATTGCTTCTCTTTTTGTGATATTAATAGCTATTAATGATCATTCTCTTTATCCATTAATTCATTATGTTAGTATATATACATATCTTATGTTCATAAAAATGTGTCTAGAACAACACACTAACATTTTAGGAGTGGTTATCTCGGAGTGGTATGAGTATGCAAATTTTTATTTTTTCCTTTTACTATAAAACTTGCACTTTTTGAGTAGTAAAAAAGTTAAAATCTAGTCAGTTGAAAAGTACCATGAAGACATCTAGTATGCATTCCTAATATTAAGCTATTCCTTTTTCATTTTTTTATAGCAAAGAATCTTGTTCTTGCAGGAATTAAGGTGAGTAAATACCCTTCTTAAGAAAAACATTTTGTTACAAGCTTCCCCCCCTCATTTGTAGTGGTAATATTGTTTAAACTTTGGCTTAATAATTGTGTCTTCGTTTAATAGCAGAATTGTTTTACAGGGTATCCCAAAGATCCCCATATGTGGGAAATTAATAAACTCATATATTAAATATTGTTTATATTTGTATATTAACACATAGAGAAATATTTTGTAAAGACTTTGTAAAATTTTGTAATGAATATTTCATTAAGGGACTTGTAGCTACAATATCCCAGTTTCCTGACCCACCCTTTTGTAATTAAAGTATAGTAATACTAGGCAGCACCTGTGGCTCAAAGGAGTAGGGTGCCAGCCCCATGTACTGGAGGTGGCGGGTTCAAACCCAGCCCTGGCCAAAAGCTGCAAAAAAAAAAAAAAGTATAGTAATACTTTAATTACCATTACCATGGAAAAGTAAAGTATTACTTTAACTTCCATTACCATGAAAATTTTTAAGATACACAGTAGTAGAAAGAATATTTTAACAAAACCCCATGTATCCACACAGCTTTAATACCTAGCTCATGGACACAGTTCTTTTCTCTATCTTCTTCCCATTCCCCACTGCCTTCAACTGCCGAATTATTTTTATGTGAATTTCAAATATTGTATTATTATCCTTAAATATTTTAGTATTATCTTTTAAAAAATAGGAGTGCCTTTGAAAACTTAATCACAATACCATTTTCACATTTAAAAAGTAACAAGTCATTAATCTATCATTGTATTGTTATATTTACTTATGAATGTAAAACAATTTACCCCAGCAGTTAGTTAACTTAAACACCATTTATTAGCTCACAGTTTCTGTGTGTCAGGATTCAGGCATGACTTAGCTGTCTCTTGTTTAAAGATCTTTTTTATTCTGCAGTCCAAGTATTAGCAGGGCCTGGCATGGTCATGAGGCTGGACTGGGAATGGTCTGTATAGGAGGCTTACTTGGGTATTGGACTGAGGACCTCACTCCCTACTGGCTCTTGACCAGAGTCACTCAATCAATTCCTTGCTATGTGGCCCTGTCTGTAGCGCACATCATATGGCCACTTGCTTCAATAGCATGAGCAAGTGAGGAGAGAGCGAGTGTGCTAACAAGACAGGCCGCCCTGTCTTATGCAAACTCACCTCAGAAGCAGGCTAGACCTGTACTCAAAGGGAGGGACTACACAGAGGCCTGGCTACCATAATCACCAAGTTTGAACTCAAATAGTATTCAAATTTTCCCAATTATCTTAAGGAATTTTTTTAAAGCTTGTTTTATTCTAACCAAGTCCAGATAAAATTCATATACTGATGTGTGTCTTTTTTTTACCTTTTTAATCTATACATTTCCCTTCCCTGTTTTTTTTTTTTTTTTTGGTTGCAGTTTTTTTGTTAAAGAAGCCAATCAGTCCTCTCATATACCTCTACCCCTGTATTTCCTGTCAACTGATAGTTATAGCCACAGAGTCAATTCAGATTTGTCAAGTCTTTTGATTCAGTCTTGGGTCAAGACTGCTTTCATAGCTGATACTGTTTTCCCATCTAAACAATGTAAACAGTAATATTCTATTGTCCCTCTTTTTGTGATTACTGTTGGTGGTGATTACCTAGATTCATGATTTCATTCAGGGCTGCAGTGATATTTTGCCATTCTTTATTAGTTGGAATAATATTTTGGAAAGAAAATATTCCATCCATCAATTAGTTTCATGAAAGTATAGATTGTACATGTATAAAATGCAGGATAATTAATTTTCCCCCTTTATTCACCAGTTTTTAAAATAAGTGGTTTCTTATCATTCCCCAGTAGTGACCAGTGAACTTGTATGTGTATGTACATTAGATAAACACATGAATTTAAACATACTTGTTTTGTTGTGATTCATTATAGTTTTTATCTTAACTGGTGCTCAAATTTTTCTATCATTGGTTTTTAGCATCTTTTTCAGATTTTTGAGTCCTTTTGACAAAACTTTAGTAGTATTTATCACTGTTTATAAAGCCTTTTTGGTGGAAAAAGCAAGAACATTCATAATGAGTAAAGACTGAAATTTCTGATTGTCAAGTTTAGGATTATAAAGTATTATTGAAGTTTCTAATTCATATGTTAGATTATAGGATATTTCTGTGTTTGATTTTATATTTGTATCTTTTTTCTATTACCGCAGGTGTCTTGGTTCCTAATGACATTAATTACTTATTTGCTTTATTCTACATTTATTTTACCTGTATAATAGCTTTAGAATACTAATTTCAATATTATTAATGTTACTGAAAAGAATTTAAAACTTTTTTTCATCTTTATTTTTTTATTCCATCTAGATTTGGCAGACTAAATAACTGCTTTTTTTTTTTAAAGTTACTTTAATTCCTCTGAAGCAAACTCAATAAACAGTTTAGTCCATTTATTCCTTTTTCTTTAGATTCTTAGGTTTTTTGTTGTTGTTTGTTTTAAGAGACAGGATCTCACTTCGTCACCCATGCTGGAGTGCAGTGGCCTGATCATAGCTCATTGCAGTGTCCAGCTCCTGGGCTCAAGTGATTCTTCCCCCTCAGGAGTAGCTGGGAATAAAGGCATGTGCCACCATGCTTGGCTAATTTTTACATTTTTTTTTTTAAATAGGGACAGGGTCTTGCTATGTTGCTCAGGCTAGTTAGTAACTCCTGGATTCAAGCAGTCCTCTTAGTAGGGCTTCCCAAAGTGCTGGGATTATAAGTATAAGCTGGCTGCTTTTTTTAAAATTTGATTTTACTATTATGTGAGTTTTATATGATTAAAGTCCAGATTTATAAAACAAACTATTTTAAGGTAGGTCTTACTTCTCACTACTCTGCTCCCTCCTTTACTTATTAAATTTTTTAATTTATTTTTTTAAATTCGCTTTTTTCTTCATTTGTTTTTAAATATAAGCAAGTGCACATACACAGCTGTTTGTTGTGTGTATTTCCTCTTGCCTTTGTTCAAGTGCCTTACTATTCTCCACTTTGCTTTTTATCACTTAATAGCTTATCCTAGAGATTACTCCATAGTGATAAATATGTATTTCATTGTTTTTGTTTGTTTGTTTGTTTGTTTGTTTTTGCAGTTTTTGGCTGGGGCTGGGTTTGAAACCCCCACCTCCGGCATATAAATAGCGCTGCATTTAATACCCTTGTACATATGTCTTTTTGTCATTTTTCTCAGCATGTCTTTGGGATAGAGTCATAAAAGTAGGATTGCTCTGTCAAAGGATAATGCATGTGTCTTTTTGCCAGAGTTGCAAATTCCTCTCCACTTAGGTTGAGCCACTGCACATCAGTATGTTGTCATGCTAGGCTAGCAACTGAGAACAGATGATTCATTCCTGAGCAAGATTGAATATCTTTAAATATTTTTAAGGGCCATGTGCATTTCTTTTTCATTATACATCTTATTCAAAATATCTTACCCCTTCTTCTGTAAGGACTGTTATGGCCCGTGATGAAAGCTAGAAAACTTTTTTTCTACTTTGTCAGTTATCTTTCTTACTTGAAGGAAGATGGACTGTTGTAAAGTATGTGTTTATGAGAATTTTCTGGATTTTTGTATGTTGATTCTCTTAATGTTAAAAATTTTTGCATCAGCATATTGAGGTTTTTAGATGTATTTGGTCATGCCAGTTCTAGTTTTATGTCCTTTCTAATTTTAATGCCTCTGGTTACTTTTTCATTGTCTAATTGCACAGAATAATATTTCCAATATTGTATAAATAATATCAGAGATAGCACCCTTGTCTTACTCCTAACTTCAATCGATACTTTCCTTTTTTTTAAAGGCACTTACGATTCATGATACCGAAAAATGCCAAGCATGGGATTTAGGAACCAACTTCTTTCTTTGTGAAGATGATGTTGTTAATAAGAGAAACAGGTGAAGATATTTTGATGTATTAAAAAATTTTTTACTTTTCTCCCTCAATTACTTAGAATATTTTCTGAATTTGGCATACTAGTGTTTAACTCATCACCATAAACTTACACTACCCTGAGTTGGTATATGCTTATTAATTATTGTTACTTATGAAATTTTTGACACATTCACCCTGCTATCTAGAAATGAATTTCTTTGAACTTACTAAAGAAGTTCTTTTGTATTTCTGAATTATTAAACTTACAGAGCTTGGCGCTATTAGATTATATAGCTTACTATACAATCAATGTGGAATGTAATAGTACATCTCAAGATCATATAGTTATCTCTAAAGATAAAGAAGTCTTGGTTTTTCTGCAGTTTAAATTTCTGTTGAAATTATGTAACATGCCAGGTTCTTCTGATATTAATAACGTATCCAACTTCAGGAGATTGAGTGTACTGAACAAAAGAATAGTGGAGGTTATTTATTTTTTTAGGGCTGAAGCTGTACTTCAACATATTGCAGAACTAAATCCTTATGTTCATGTGACGTCATCTCCTGTTCTCTTCAATGAGGCCACAGATCTTTCCTTCTTAGATAAATACCAGGTTAGTGCTCTATTTTGTATTGTTGTTGACAGATTCCAAGACAGATAGTTAAGTATTGATATGATGTAATTAATCTTTTGAGGAACACAACAAAAAATTTCAAGTTACAAGAATTTTATTAGAGGCTGGGCGCCTTTGGCTCAAGCAGCTAAGACGCCAGCCACATATACCAGAGCTGATGGGTTCAAATCCAGCTGGGCCTGCCAAACAACAATGACGACTACAATCAAAAAATAGCCATGTGTTGTGGCAGATCAGTGGTCCCAAGTACTTGGGACGCTGAGGCAAGAGAATTGCTTAAGCCCAGGAGTTTGAGGTTGCTACAAGCTGTGATGCCATGGCACTCTACCCAGGGGGACAGCTTGAGGCTCTGTCTCAAAAAAAAAAAAAGAGGAATTTTATTAGAATAATACCGTTCAAATTCTCCTAGATAGGAACTACTAATAAACCAATTATATCAATTGACCATTTTCTCAGTAATATGTATAAAAAAGTACCCCAAACTGTTGTTTAGAGTAATGTGCACTTAATTTCTTTCTTATGCATCTGCATTTCATTTGGGGTTCTTAGACTGAACTCAGATTCAACTTTGAAGTCTGGAATTTGCTCCTGTGACCAGAAGGCCCGCCAGCTCATGTTTTCATGGCAGTAGCAGAAACACAAAAGGAAAAGTCTAACCACTCAAGCACATTTCCAACCTCTATTACTACCTTTAACATACCATTGGCCAAAGCAAGTTACATTGTCAAGTTCAAAGTAAAGGAGTGGAAAAGTACATTTGGCTCTTCCTAAAGCAGTGGGCAAATAATATACTTACAAGGAAGTAAAATATATGCATCAGTATTATAGGTAATAATAGTTCCTTAAATAATAACAAAATTTTTCAACACCTTCAGTATTCTAAAGTGACTAGGTTGACACCTGATTTTATTTTCTGTGATAAAATTATGCTATCACCCATTTAAAAATCAGTGTATACTTCTATTCTGGACTAGATAACTTCAGATCCATCTTGCCACAAGCACTTAAAATTGCGAAACTGACTTCCTTCTAAGTGACTGTCTGAACTCCAAATAATGGGAGTATTCAGGAACCATAATAAGCAGGTAGCTGAAGGACAGCCCTGTCCCTGTCTCTGGTCTCTCAAGGACAGGACTTGCCTGTCATAGTATCCAAGGTTCTTGGGAATTAATGGTCACACAGAAACAGAAGGTGATGCAGACTTGGGACTTCATGAGTTAGAGAATTATAAAGCTGGAACCTCAGAGAGCTGTACTTAGTATCAATGAAAGGGAGGGCTAGAATAATCTGCCATTAAAATAAGAAGCTTGTCTGTTTTCTCTTGAGCTCTGGATGAAGAATAAAGGTCTCTGGAAATTCGTTACCATAACTCTCCCCTCACACGGGTTTGGAGATCAACTTTGCAATCTTTGTGGCCTGGAAATTCTCAAGCTGAGAACTTAACACAAAAAGTAGTACTATAATAGCCAAACCCTAGACTGCTAGACAGAAAAAAATAACTAAAAAACTTCAGAGAAGTATACCCTCAAATAGGCCACAGTGTATTCTAATATATAAAGTTCCTTTGAGTTCACAAGCCAAAATAGTAGGAAAAAGCCGTTCAACATGAGTAAGTGTCAATGGATAAGACAAACTAAAATAAAACCTCCAGGAACTTCAGGAAATAGAATTCTTGGGTAGAGACTATAATATAATACAGATACTCAAGATGACTAAATCTTAAGAGATTAAATATAAAATAATTTATACTTTTTTTACATTATTAAAAAAGACTAGGCATAGATGATAAAACTATGTAGAACTTATTGAAATGAAAATAAAGTTGTAAAATTCGGTACACAGATTAAAAATAACGTTCATGAATTGAAAGAGCCAAGGAAATTAGTGAGACTACAACACAGAAATAAGAGAAAATATGAATGAGAGAGTAAAGGAAATGAGAACTTGAGTGGAAAATCCTGTTTATGAGGTTGTATTTCAAGAGCATTAGGACAAGGCAGAATTCAAAGAAATGGCAGAGACTTTTCTACCATTAATAAAACACAAATCACATTCAAGGCCAGGCACAGTGGCTCACACCTGTAATCCTAGTACTCTGGGGGGCTAAGGCAGGTAGATTGCCTGAGCTCATGAGTTTGAGACCAGCCTGAGCAAGAATAAGACCCTGTCTCTAAAAATAGCCAGGCATTGTGGCCAGCACCTGTAGTTCCAGCTGCTAGGGAGGCTGAGGCAAGAGAATCACTTGAGCCCAAGAGTTTGAGGTTGGTATGAGCTATGACACCTCGGCATATGACACCTTGACTGAAGGCGACAAAGTAAGACTCTGTATCCAAAAAAAAATCACATTCATTGTATGTTGGGTGTTTGATTTTGTATTTGCAAACTATTAAGTTAGCCTGTTTCTGTTTCACTTACATAGAATAGGGTGGGGTTCCTAGTGGAAGATTAAGGACTTTTTTACTCAGTACATCACACAAACCCTGGGTGTGACATTTCATCGCCCACCACCTCCAGCCTCACTGGGTCCTGCTCTTGCACTGTGTGGGCTCTGTGTCACCTGGATGAGTTATGGTCACTTCCCAGAACACTGAGCTAAAGGAACTTGCTGTTTTGTATTAAGCAGTGATTAAGCCTTCTCTCTGTCCCTGAGGAAATGTTGCCTCATCCCACAAGATTTTCACCACAAATGTAGCCCTGAGAAATAAGCATGAAAGAGTGTTTGGGGCCTTTATTTACACCCTGCCTGGGTGAGAACTTTGTAGAGTAAGAGGCCCCAGGAGGAACATCTCCATATAGGAAGCTGCCATAGTCAAGTAAAGTTAAATCCACCTGTTCTTATACCTAATGTATCTCTTAAAAATGTAATTGTCACCCCTTTAAGCTGGCATGAAAATAGTACTCTGGTGGGTAGGTTAGTTTTTCCATGGCAGTAACAGATAAAACAAATCTCTAACCATTTGGTGTCTATAAATACTATATAGAACAGTGGTTCTCAACCTTCCTAATGCGTGACCCTTTAATACAGTTCCTGTGGGTCGCAACCCACAGGTTGAGAACCGCTGATATAGGATACTTGGGTCTGATTGTGAAGCCTTTGACAGTTACTGAATTTAATGTGGGTGGGTTTTCCATCATATCATAAAGTGTATGATGCTTTATTTTGCTGTTCTATACTTTTGAAGATATTAACCTTAGAATGGAATGTAATAGGGTAGTAATTTTTTTTTACTAGGATAAAGTATATCTTTATAGTGCAAACTGGCATGCTTTCTACTGTATATTTGTATTTTTAGTGTATATGTATATTAAGTATACACTTTCTGGTCTTTAATTTCTTGTTCTGTATTCTCAACAGTGTGTAGTGCTGACTGAGGTCAAACTTTCATTGCAGAAGAAGGTCAACGACTTCTGCCGTTCTCGGTGTCCTCCAATTAAGGTAACAGCGACACCAGTGAGCAAAAGGAAGAGTACTCCCTCTGTCAGAGTCTGTGTCTTTTCCGTGGGTTATAAATAGGGAACAGTCACAGTAAGATTTTTCTCTTGAATTTTGGTATCATATTCATTTCCTGTTTTTAAAACTAAGTTCTAAGTTTGCTTTATAGACGGATTACCTCTTAAATATGATATGATAGTGGTTTTCAAGATATTCTTTGGTTCATTTATGAATATTCTTTGAATATCTATGTACCAAATACAGTTCTAGGCACTAAGAATACATTAGTGAGCAAGATAATTTTTTTTTTAATTTCAGTTTAGTAAAGTCCAAGTTGTATTTGAGCCGTATTACTGGCAGGTGTACCATATACCCCTACTTTGTACCTATTAGGTGGGGGCTTGCTAAGACCTCTCCCCACTTCCCTACCCCTCTTCTTGAATTGGTTTTTCTTTTCTCTCTTGTGTGAGCCTGTAATTGTTCATCTACTAGTTTCAAATTAGTACTGAGTACCAGACAAATGTTCTTACTCATGAAAATTACCTTCTACTATGGAAGATATACAGTTAAAAAAAAATGTACATGATATGTTTTCGAGTAGTTGAGGTCCTATGAAGTAAAAATCTAAATAAAGAATGGAGAACAGTATGTGCATGATGTTGGGAGAGGGGCCAGTGCTTGTTTTTCTAAATTAGAAGGTCAGGGAGGTCCTCTGTGTATAGCAGCTATTTGCAAAGTGTGCTCTGAGGAATCTGAGGATCCCTGAGACCTTTCAGAGATCTGCATGGTCAAACTGTTTTCATGTTGCTCACATGGTATTAGTTATTTGCCTTTTTCACTCTGATTATCTTACTTGGTACAGTGAAATTTTTTAGTCTATGAGATGTGTTGATGTCATTGCTCCAACAGCTAATGGAATATATGTTTGAATATTCTTGTGATTTAAATTTTTCTCAGTTTTAATTTTTAACACAAAATATATGGATAGGTATAACTTACATAAATAAGAGCTATAGTCTATTCTCCATACAGCAAGCCAAAAATGACTCTTTAAAAATATAAATTTGATCAAATATCCTCCAAGATCCTGTAAGATATGACCCTCTACCTATCTCTGCAAACCAAGAGCTTTTTGAATCCTCAGTAATTTTTAAGAGTATGAAAGAGTCATGAAAGAATCCAAAGGAGAATTGCTGGATTATGAAAGAAGAATGGAAGCGGCTAGACCTGTAGGAGCCGTTGGAGATGCTGGTGTCTCAGCCAAAGGAGATGGGAATAGAGATAGTGAGAAATCACTGAGTTTACGATACCCTGTGCAGCCTCCTTAGGCTAACAGAACTTGTGGGTGGATGAATGAGTTATGAAGGAAGGAATGATCAAAAATCCTAGATTTCTGTCTAGTATAAAAGTAGGTGGTGGTGATATTGGGAACAGGTTTCTGTGGGAAAGATCATAGTTCTTCTCCTCTAATTGAATGCATTTTACTAACTCCACTTCCTTTGTTTTTGAAATCATTTGTTCCTTTAAAGGAAACAAAAAGGAAAAGAAAAAGATGTTTGTTCCTTTAAGTGCTAAGTCAAAATTATCCTGTATGGTTAAGTGTGCTGCAAATTTTGGGGTTGTGGTGTTTACGTTTGAGCATTTATGTTATGGGTTACAATTTCAGCACATGACTAAGAGAACAGTCAGTTAATATACAACAGGACACGAAAGTTTTACAAATAACCTTAATAGGTTATAATTTAAAGTATTTGTTTATGTAATTGACATAGATATAGCACTACTTCAAAGTATTTCGGAGAAAAAAGAATGTCTTGGAATTTATAGCTTTTAAAATTTTAAAGGTATTCAGTTTTATGTTTCATAAAAAATATTTCTATGCCCCTTTTGATCAATAAAAGTAATATATGATCAAGTGGGAGGGAATCTTCCATTAACTATCTCACCACTTTTATAATGAGGGTTATAAGTTATTTTAATAAGATAGATTCTTATATCAAAATATTAATATGCTTAATTTTTTCAGAAAAATATTACTTTATATAAGATTAGATGCATTACAGAATAAGGATTTTCTTAGCAATAGGTCTAAAAATAGCTTGAAGCACAAATTTTTTTTTTTTTTTTTTTTTTTTTCAGTTTTTGTCCAGGGCTGGGCTTGAACCTACCACCTCCAGCATATGGGGTCAGCTACCTACTCCTTTTAGCCATAGGCGCTGCCCAAAGCACAAAATTTTTTTTACAAATTTTTGGGTTGTAGACAATGGATGTGTTAGAAAAACTTCTAATAAAACATAATTGTGTTTAAGAATTTAATTTTTACCTTTATGACTTTGATTTGCACTCTTGGTTTCTCAGCTTTTTCTCTGTCCCCTCTGCTCTCAGTTTTCAGCTCTTCTGCTTTCCGTTAATAGCACTGCTTTTGGTGGGTGGACACTCCTCCATTCATCTTCTCTAAAACAAGTATAAAGTCACTGCTTGACCATCAAACCAAGACATCTGTTTCTTACTAATTGTGTTTGAATATTGTGACAAGGCCAGAATTTTAGTTTTTTAAAAAACCATAGAAGTATAATGATAATGCACTAATCTTGTTTCTTTGGTAAACAGATACCTGTTTACCAAATACCAAACACTTTTATTTCTAAAACCAGTCTACAATGTATTGTATTTATAATTCATTTTATATTATAAAGGACATTCTTAATTATAAACTAAATTGTCATAAAAGGGCCTAAGACAGTTGAGTTGGGCTTTTTAAATAAACTTGAACTTGTTTTGTTATTTCACAGTTCATCAGTGCAGATATACATGGGATTTGGTCACGATTATTTTGTGATTTTGGCGATGAATTTGAAGTTTTAGATACAACAGGAGAAGAGCCAAAAGAAATTTTTATTTCAAACATAACGCAAGTATGATTATATCAATGAACTTTTTAAAATAAATTTTTTAAAGTTGATGTGAATGTTGTTTTCAAAAAGGTGGTATTAGGAAAATATTGTCATAGTAGTATTTTTTTTATTTGTTTTGCAGTGTTTTACCATAACTCATAATGGAATATGTTGTTAATTTTTTAAATGCAATATATTAAAACTAACTTGAAATCTGCATATTAATTAAGTATATTCTTTATTTCCTCTAACAATATTTAATACTTAAAGATCAACATTTGCTTGCCATAAATTTTAATTTTGTTCTGAGTCATGTTCCTAGGAACATGGACTGATCTCAGTGTCAGATCATGCATGTATGAAATATGTGGGTTACCTGGCCTAACACTCTGACCATATAGGAAGGGCTGCAAATCATCTTAGACAAAGTCATTTCTCATTTGTTATGTTTCTATAACATTATTTAGAAGGCAGATCAGGTTTAAAATTAATTGAGCTTCAAATGAAAAAGTCTGAATTTTCTAACCATACCTGATATCAAGTAAGCTTAATTTTTTTTTTTTTAAGAGACAGAGTCTCACTTTATCACCGTTGGTAGAGTGCTGTGGCATCACAGCTCACAGCAACCTCCAACTCCTGGGCTTAGGTGATTCTCTTGCCTCAGCCTCCTGAGTATCTGGGACTACAGACGTCCATCACAATGCCCGGCTAATTTTTTTTTTGGAGGGGGGAGCAGGTCGCAGTTTGGCCAGGGCTGGGTTTGAACCTGCCACCCTCAGTATATGGGGCTAGCGCCTTACCCACTGAGCCACAGGTTCCGCCCAGTAAGCTTAATTTTTTATTACATAAAAGAACTAGAGAAATCATAAAAGACTATGATCCCCTCTTAATACTTTTTAACCTAAATAATTTACTCATGCTCTTTGTCATCAACTTACTTTAAAGTCCCCAGAGAAGCCAAATACATATAAGGCAATGGTAATATACTTTGGCGTGCTAGTATTTGTGCGTCTGTCTTTATGTTTTATTTTTAAAACCAGTGTAATGTCTCTCTCATGCCTTGTTAAGAAAAATTTATTGAAAAATCATCCTGTGTATCATTCTGCTACAGAATGGGATATTATTTCACCTGAGTTATTCTTTCAGGCATATTACTTCTTAGCCTTTTACCTTGTCTACTTTGTATTAATTTGTCCCCAAGAATAACACATTGTTGGAATAAGCCCCAAAAGATAGTTTGGATTCTTATATTTTGTCGCTATTTTCTTTTATTGGACAAGGTTATTTTTTTTATGTATACAGATTTTTTTCTAAATGACTTTGAAACTAATAAATAACTCCGTTTTTTGTAAGTCATGAGAATTTTTAAATATATGAAATATTTGAACCCCTCTGTAAAGTCTCCAGAACATCTCCCACAAAAAATAGATATTTTTAACATTCATTAAAAAAAAAACAGTAATAATTTCATCATTATTTTGTGACAGTTCTTTAAGGCTTACTTTTACTAATGGAAAAGAATAGCTTAGAAATTTGTGATAACTTTTTTTGTGTAAGATTTGGAAGAATATGTGAACTTATTATTTTTAGGCTAATCCTGGCATTGTCACTTGCCTTGAAAATCATCCTCACAAACTTGAGACAGGACAACTCATAACATTTCGAGAAATTAATGGAATGACAGGTTTAAATGGATCTACACAACAAATAACTGGTAAATTTATATGTTTTATTAGTTCATTCATACTTATTAGTCAGCATCTTTATAGTTCAGATACTACAGTCAGCATTGGGAACATAGCTTCACCTTCATTCTTTTGAAGTTGGGGGGTAATGCTTATATAGAGTGGCTATTATGAAAGGTTTTTTTTCCTTAACATTCACTAATTGGTACTTCTCTAAGGTAGATATCTTTTAATGTGAAAAAAGATTTTGTGTATGTGTGTGTGTGTGATTAAGTAGAATTAAAAATGAATCCTACTTCAGACCTGGTTCCTTCTCCAAGAGGTAACAGCAGCTAAGTTTGGTGTTTACTCTGCTGACCTTTCTACCTACTTAATATGCAAGTAATATTTATTATATGTTAAGTGGAAAGTGGGCTCACTTGTTTTTTTAATTTAATATTTTGAATAAGCAAATATTTCAGAAACAAGAAAGGGTAAATCTTTATGGTGAAAGTTTTCTGCCCATCCTTGGTCTTGCCTTCTCGTTCTTATTTACCTACTACAGGTAACCACTGCTCTTAATTTATTGTGTACCCATCCAGGTTTTCCTTTTCCTTTTTTTACATAGACGGTAGCAGATTATATATAGTGCTACATCAGTAATTGTAGAGGTTTTTTTTTCCTTTAAATTTTCTTTCATGGCTATATAATATTTCACAGTAGGGATAAAAATATCAGAGCATTTCTTTTTCTTTGTCACCTGAGTGCCACCTGTGATCCCAGCACTCTGGGAGGCTGAGGCAGGTAGATCGTGTGAGGTCAGGAGTTCCACATCAGCCTGAGTGAGAACAAGACCCCATTTCTACTAAAAATAGAAAAACTAATGAGACATTGTGACAGGTGCCTGTGGTCTTAGCTACTGTGGAGGCTAAGACCGGAGGATCATTTGAGCCCAGGAGTTTGAGGTTGCTGTGAGCTGTGACACCACTGAACTCTAGCCAGGGCAACAGAGTGAGACTCTGTCTCAAAAAAAATAAAAATAAATAGACAGGGTCTTGCTGTTGCCCATGCTATCCACAGGTACAAATAGAGTGCACTTCAGGTTCAAATTCCTGGTCTCAAGCAATCCTCCTGCCTTAGCCTCTCAAGTAATTTAGACTATAGGCAACCCCCAAACTGTTCCTGGACAAGGAATAATTTTAACTTACCTTTTTCATATTAGGAATGAAGTTTAGTATCTTTTTCTTAGGTTTTAGAGCTATTTATTTTTTCTCTGATGTGAGCCATCTGTCCTTTGCCATTTTCTTGTCAAGTTATTGATCATTTTCTTAACCATTTCTAGGAACTCTTGATTTTATAGGGCATATTTGCCAATTTTTTAATATGAATGGCAAATACTTTTCAGTTTGGTATTTTTATTTTGACTTTCCTTGTGATGGGAGTTTATCATGAAGTTTTCTTTTTTATGATTATATAATCAAATTTTTCTGTCTTTTCTCTTAGGGCTTTTATGTTGAGTATTATTTAGGAAACCCTGCTGCGCTGGATTATAAAGGATTTTTTTCTCCATGATTTTATCTAAAAACAATTTTGACATTTAAACTTTTTGACATTTAAAACTTACATTTACAATGGGATAGATATGTTCCTGGATGACTTCCCCCCCCCAAAGATTTGTCAAATAATCTTTTTTCCTCACTGGTTTGAGGTGCACCTTTATTGTGTCCTTTGTGAACTAGGGTCTTTTTCTGATTTTCTAATGGACTCTCTGTCTGTTCATGAGCCAGCAGCACACTGCATAAATTGTAGAAGTATGATACATAATTAGTATCAATCTTAGTGAGGCTTTATGATCTGTTTTGATGTCTGAAAATAAATACCTCTCATTATTTTTTTTTCTTTCTGACTTTTCTTGGTTATTTTTAAGTCCTGAAGTTCACATCGGAAAATATAGTCTAGTTTCCTATACTTCTCCCAACCTTCCATTAAAAAAAATAAAAAACTATTCTAGAATCTTAACCTTGTAAACTAAAGAGAATTAACATTCTCATGAGGATGAGTCTCCAAATTTAAATGTCTATATTCCTATATAATGGTTTTCTTATTTTTTTATTCTAGTGATATCACCATTTTCGTTTAGCATTGGTGATACTACAGAACTGGAACCCTATTTACATGGAGGAATAGCTGTCCAAGTCAAGACTCCTAAGACATTTTGCTTTGTAAGTATTTTTTTCTGCATAAAAATATTTCTTTACAGAAAAGAAAATACTCAGTTAACCTAACAGTTAAAGGCCAAATTGATTTTGTTTTTTAATGTGCATCTACTTTGAGGAAAATGGAATTAATCTAAGGAAATAAACTGATATCAACAAAAAAATTGCGTATCTTCTATAGCTAGAATACCATATGCATATAGTTGAGGTGTATACGTATACCCCAAAGGAACTTTAGCTTCTTTAATCATCAAAGAGCCGAGTGTACTTTATAATTTACTTTCTAAGATGAGATAAAACATGTAAAGATTTAGGAAGGCTTGTTTTGCTTTATTACTCAACTATTTGTTTGAAATACATATAAGGAATTTTTTTTATATTAACATGATAATCCAGATTTTTAAAATTTTATAAATTAAAAAAATAGTGTATACACTGGAAATGTAAAATAATTCCTGGAAACTCCTGCTGTTGAAAGGAAAATATAATTAGCTGCATAGAGAGAATATGAGACTACTGTTGTCTAGGAACTAAGGAATCTGCTGCTGCTTACATCTTACAATCTTACTTGATTGTCTTTGCTTTTTCAGAACTATTAACTCCTATGCTCCTTTACAAGGCTTTGTTTAAGCCAAAGTTGGAACGAAAATATAAGTTAAAATGTGCAGTATGGCTGGCCAAGTCTAACCCTGTATATCTTCTTGTGCCCTGTTCCCAATTTTTAATTGGATAGTTTATGCCTCAAGTAATTTAAGATTGGGTGGTTATTTCAGGGTTGTGTTTTGAGCTTTTGTTTTTCCTTTGTGTCCTTTGATCCACTGAGAAGGTTTTAACTTGAGTCTATTCGTCAGGCATAACAAATCTTGATAACTTGATATAGAAAAATATAGTAGCTTTTCTATTTAAACATAATTTTTTTCAAGAATGCCAATATTTTTACTAAGTGGTCCCAGATTTACTATGTGGAACAGGTTGATTTATTTCACTTTTCTTTTTTTAAATGTGGTCAAGGTAAGGAAGAATGGTAGCTGTTTTATATTTGATTAAAGTATCAGATCATATCAGGTTGACATACCAGGTCAACCTCATTTATTTCAGACCTTCAAGAGAGATCTCCATTGCTTTTAGTGTATTGACATATAACATATTTTGTTTTGTCAACTGATTATTCAGTTGCTCTCAAGTAACAAGTTGTATTTTTTTTTTTTTAATTAGGAATCACTGGAAAGGCAAATAAAACATCCGAAGTGCCTTATTGCAGATTTCAGCAAACCTGAGGTAACTAAACACTTGGCAGGTTTGAGAGAGGCAGAGGGGTGGGGGGTGGGAATTGGCTAGTGGTTATAAGGTTAAAATAGAGTAACCACCTGCTTACCTTGGTGTTGGGTTTCCTAGTAAAGGGTTATACTCACATATCTAAAGTTGACGCTCAAGGGTTAAAAACAGGAATTTGTATCATGGAAAAAATGTTAGAATAATAGGAAAAGCTTTACTTTTGTAATGATTTGCTAGTTTAGATGATTAAAAGATTATTTCAATAATTTAGAGATGACCTATTAGAAGACTTTCTGAAGTGTGTAGAATTTTATATAATAAATATTTCTTACTAAAGAAAAAATCTTAGTTGTATATCCTAGTTCTTTAAATCACTAGAGGTAATTTTGTAACAATAAATGTATTTGTGGTAAGGAAGAAATTAGCAGTTTCCAAATTTGTAAATATTAATAAGGAAAAGGAATTAGCTGTTCTTGTGCCAACTTTTTGCCAATGTCATTTGATTGACATCACTCCAGGTTCTTTCATGCAGTGTCCTGGTGAACCCCAGCCGGATGCCTGGGTGGAAACAGGTGCTGTTGTTAATGAAAGCATTCTGGAGCTTTAAACAGTGGGTTCTTGGGAGGTCAGATAAATCCCTTCTGAGCAGGAAGGACAACCAGGATAAAATAAAAGAGTACAGGCCAAGTTACAGTATTCAGAGTTTATTAATAAACACACAACTCTACAAAATTAAGACAAGGCTTAACAATAGAGTAGGAGGATGGAAACAGCTCACCAGTTCTTACTCAAATTTTTACTTATTATATACCCAAAGCTACCTTTTTCCAATGTGACATTCTTTCTTAATTTGCATAGTTAAAAGTAAAGATCACATTAACCCTTAACATAACTGAAAGGTGTAAATGGCTTGGCCCAGAGACCAGGCCTCAGAGATTTTCAGGCCAAGTTTATTGAAAAGGGAGGCTGACCCACCTCAGCAGTGCAAAGATGGCCTCTGTGCGCAGGGGCAGTTAGAAACCACTTTTATTTGGAGGTGGCGTGGGCACATTCCACAGGTTGCCTGTCAGGTTACCGTTTGTGGGGGGCAGACTTCTTGTGGGGTGGCGTCTTTGTCTTAGGAGGAGAAAAGGAAGAGGGGGAGGAGAAAAGGGTTTATGTGCTGCTGCCTTAGACCCCCCAATAATTCAGTGTAATTCAACTTGATTGTCTTTACTTTTTCAGAATTAACTCTTAGGCTCCTTTACAAGGCTTTGTTTAAGCCAAAACTGGAACAAAACAATAAGTTAAAATGCTCAGTATAGCTAGCCAGGTCTAACTCTGTATATCTTGTGCCCTTCCCAATTTTTAATTGCATAGTTTATGCTGCAAGTAATTTAAGATTAGATGGCTATTTCACAGGGTTGTGTTTTGAGCTTCTGTTTCAGTGACCTATGACAACATTCCACTTCAAAAGTTAATCTTAAATTAATCCACATAAACTACTCAAGATGGGCATCTTGAGGATAGGAGCTAAATTTACAAAATAATAAGAATGGGAGACAGGGGGTGAAGGTCAGGCAGGTCCTAAACCAGCCAGACCAGCTGTGTCATGTCCGTCTTAAGCTTGCCTGACTCCATCTTCTCACTACCCATGTTTTCACCCTGGTGCAAGATCAAAGTCTGTTGGGAAATTAGTCTCTGATACAGCATCGTTCACGTTGCAAGAAAAATGACTCCCTGATCTTCTCACAACCCCGCCCCCCATGCAGTCTGCACAGGTGCCCCTTGCTCTGCTTTGCCCTTGGCCTTTGAATAAATTCATTCCTATGTTAATCTTCTTTGGCCCTCTGCTTTGTTTTGTCAAATTTAACTAATTCCTGGCAGAGTTGATCTCTGCTTTATAAATTTCTCTCTGAATAATAAAAGGGCTTCTTTTTGCTTTTCAGAGACCCTTTCATTGATGCACCCTAAGGCCTTACAGGGAGCTTACCAGCTTCTCTAACCCTCAATTTTTTCTCATATGTTAAATACAGTTGATAATAGTATTAAGTTGATAGGTTTATTGTGGGGATTATTAAATAGTGGTTAAAAAGCGTTAAACACAGTGCCTGGCACATGAAAGCACTCAGGATATTTTGGCCAATTTTTATTGTTCTCCATAGGCACCTTTACAGATTCACACAGCTTTGCTTGCCTTGGACCAGTTTCAGGAGAATTACAGTCGTAAGCCAAATATCGGGTAATGTTTCCTGTTTAAACATAACTATTTTCCTTTTTTAAAAGTAATACTTCAAAAACTTTTTTAAGAAAAGTAACCCCCTTGAAATTGCAATATCAATACATATTTCGAACTATATAACCATTCTTTATGCTTTCTGCCCTTTTTTGTGGGTGGAGTGTAGAGAGTGGTTTACAAAAATTAAATCATACTAAATGTGAATTTTCCCACTTTGAAGTCTTTAAAAGCTACCACTTTTTAAAACAAAATCTAAGAATTAATTCAATTGTTAGCCCATTTTTGCTTTGTATATTTAAAACTAAATCTTACTGTCCTAAGTATGATTTTGAAGTAATATATTTATAAGCCAGTTATCTTTAAGCCAGTGAAACACTTTGTGTGACCTGTTAGCAGAATTCCATGTTCTTTAATATAGTTCATAATTTTAGTTTTGCATATGCCCTACTGTTTATGGCAGTTGAGAAAAGTGAAGTTAGAGTCCTTTGCTTTGAATTGCAGATGCCAACAAGATTCAGAAGAACTGTTCAAACTGGCAACATCTGTAAGTGAAACCTTGGAAGAAAAGGTGAATATTCAAAGTTATGGCTTTCAAAAAATTCGTTTGTAACATATAAATGTTTTATATATTAATAGTTTCTTATCCTTTAAATCCCAGCTAGTTATTGATATTATAAGGTTAGGCAAATTCTGCTTTTGTTTATAGACCTGTAAAACAGAGTTGACAAGCCTCACGGTGTTGTTGTGAATATCAGTGTGGTATTAATGTCTTTTGTTCGTCTGTTCTCCTTTACTTGGTTTGTAAACCCACTCAACTTCATTTTCTGTAAGGCATCAGCTTTTCCTGTAATTTACCTCTTTTATACATTATGCAGTCACATCTTTTAGTCACATTTTGCATATCAGATTAGACTTGAACATATCACCTAGATAATGATTTTTTGTGCTGCTGATGCCTGTGTCTGCCAGTAAACAGTTTCGTTTAAGAAGCTGTCAACATAGCAGTGTTAGTATAATTTTTTGAAAATTTTATTTTTATTCTTATTTTATGAAAATAAAGGGTAAATGAAAGTCTTAACATCAGTGGTAGGAAGTTCTGATTTCATATATGTATATATAACTAGAGAAAGAATAAATGTACTGAAGCAGAGGCTCACTAGTCATAAACAAAATGCCTTGTGTTGTGTATTTAATGGTTAGAGAAAGGAAATATATGAAAAGCTAGAAATAGAGTTAAAGACTATGATTAAACCGAAGGATATGGTTAGGGACTTATTTGGCTTATTGAGGTAAAATTTACATGAAGTTATGTACAAAATTCTGTACATAACTCAACTGAACACAATGACTTCCAAGTGGGCAGACATATCACCACTGTCAAGATAGAAAACATTTCTATAATACCAAATAGTTCCCTCGTGCCTCTTTGTAATCATTTCTAGCCCACACCCAAACTCTGGCAGCCGCTATAGTTTGTTCATAAACTCTTTCCAGAAAAAGCACCACATGCTTCATTGCTAAATGTCACTATAATGGTACCTTTGAGGTATTCCCCTCAGGAAGCTGTGCATTGACTGATGCCAGTTCCTACTCCACCCTTCAAAGCACTTTTGGAAGGAACTCTTTTTCTGGAATAGCCATCAGAGCTGTTGTCATTGTCTGGCAATTAAGTTCATGAACTCCTCCTAGAAAAATTGCTGTGAAGGGTGGACTAGGTGCTGACATTGGTGCATAGCTTCCCTACGGCAGTACCTCTGAGGTGACTGTAGCAGTATTCAGCAATGAGGGAAATAGCACTTTCTTTTTTTTTCAGTTGTTGGCCAGGGCTGGGGCCGGCACCTTACTCCTTTGAGCCATAGCCGCCACCCAGGGAGATAGCACTTTCTGTAGGACAAGTTCATTGACTTAACTGTCAGACCTCTATGTTTAATTTTGTAACCAAACTGCCAAATAGTTCTAAAAAGTAGCTGTACGTTTTGCATTCCCACCAGAAATGTATGAGAGTTTCAGTAGCTCTGTATCTCTCCAATACTTTGTATTGTCAGTTCATTTTTAATCATTTTGACATGTGTAGTGTCTTAGATACATATTTTAAAATTATTCCCTTAAGTTCAGTTTGTCAGTTTTTCATTTTGTAGCTTGTGCCTCTTGTCCTAAGAAATTTTTGTTAATGCAAGTCACAGTTCTTCTATGTTTTCATCTAGAAGTTTTATAACTTAGTAATTTAATAATTTAATTTTTGTATGTAATGCAAAGTATAGTTCAAGATATGACCATGCAAAGTACAGATCAGTGTACATAATTATACTGTACACTAATTTTGTGCAGTTTCATGAGTTTTTATATACTGTATAACACATAGATCAAGATTAAGTTTTCTATGTGTGAGTGTCCAGTGACTTTGGCTCATTTACTGAAAACATTGTTCTGTCCAGCAAAAGTGAGGGCATCTTCGCCAGCAGTTACTAACCCATGGTATGTAGGCCTATTTCTGAGCTCTGTCGTCTTCATGTTGATTGTTTCTCTTTGCCAGGCCCATCCTGTCTTGATTATTGTGACTTTCAGGTTAAGTCTCGAAACTATGTTTCATGAATTTCTATAGTGCATTTCTCAGAAGGAGCTCAGGATTATAGTATTCTGAGTTTTTTGTCTCAAATTTTTTCTTTATCCTTCATACTCGAAAACTAGCTTGACTGAATGTAAAATTCTAGGATCTTTCTTTCCTCACTGATAGATATCTTACTTTATATCTTGCTATGAAATAAGATGCTAGCCTAATCTTTGTACTCTTTAACAGTAATCTGGACTTTTCTGCCTTGAGACCCTGTTTACAGAGGGGTCCAAAAAAATGTGTATACTTTTAAGAAAGGAAAAAAACTACTGAAATTGTAACACTCCATATACACCCATAACAAAAAAAGAATATAAGTGATGCATGTGACTTCTGTGTCACAGGAGGTGCTCACATGGTCACCAGCAGCGTTCAGACACTTCTGACTGTGGGAACTACTCACTTACTTACCATGGATGCGTGCAGCTGTTGGGTACATGGAGGGTCCTGCTGCATACTCACACCTCACTGTCACTGTGCATCCACAGCATTCTCTAATTTCAAATACTTCAAAATGGTCTTTGCATACCTCAAAGGACTGGTGCTTCTGCCATTTTCTCTGACTGTCTTGCCTGTCAAATGGTGACACTTGGCACTTGTTCGATTACCACCATATTTTGAGTGAATGCCGTACCACATTGGTACTATAATTCAATTCAGCTTTGAGAAGGAATACATAGATAATAGCTCTTAAAATGTGTATATATATATTTTTGGCACCCCTGGTATTTGCCCTTTTGGCACCCCGGGTATTTGTCCTCATCTGTGAAATCTAATAGTGTCACCAAATTAGATCTCAGCAAAGTTGAGTGTTCACTTCGTTTTCTCAGGTACACAACGAGCCCATTTCAATATGTAGATTAAGATATTCTTTAATAGGTTATTTCTTTCCCTGTATGGAGAGGCAGAGTGGGTCATTTTTGTTCTTGGTTTTTAAATTTCTTTTTTTTTTTTTTTTTTTTGAGACAGGGTCTCACCATGTAGCCCTTGGTAGAGTGCTGTGGCATCACAGCTCACAGCAACTTCAAATTCTTGGGCTTAAGCTATTCTCTTGCCTTAGCCTCCCAGGTAGCTGGGACTATAGGCATCTGCCACAACACCAGCTTTTTTTTTGTTTTTGTTGTAGTTGTCATCGTTTTTGGTTGTTGGTTTTTAAATTTCTAATTCAAGATATTTTTCCTCCATCTTCAAAGTGCTTTTTATATAATTTATTCCAATAAATTTCACACTACTTGTGATTAGTTCAGAGGAAATTTTCAGTAACTACAATGTTTTATTCTAACTTTCTGCTTTTTTAACATTAGCATTGTGTTACAGACTGATTGTTGTGCTTAGTGCTTAGTTTTGGGACAGGGTAAGGATTTAGGGTACTTTTTAGATTTCTACTTTTATAACATTGTCTTCTCTCAGGATACAGGAAAGGACTTTACTTAACGGTGACTTTCATTTTGGTGGAGAGATGTTGGCTGTCTTGGTGGTCTCTGGTTTCTGCCTTCCTCCTTGAGTCTTGTTTTTCAGATTTTGTCCCTTCCTTTCCTGCTCACCTCTTTCTCTCCCAGAGAAGTTCTTCTCTGTAACTAGGGCTGAGACCTGCAGGGTGTCATGCTCTTCAGAACCTTGTGCACTTAGGTTGGGGTTTCTTTTTCTTTGGATGACTTAGACTGTTTTGTCACCGTTTAGCCTTTGGCTCTGGTTTATGTAACTACTTCATCCTCTCTGCTCTGTGTAGGCTTGTAGTGCTATGATGGCAGAGGTGGCTCTGTGGGGGGTTGGTCTCTGTTTCTCTACTTAAAAATCAGTTTATAATATTCTGTTTCCTAGTAATGCTAATGCCCTGTACTTTATATCTCTTTGTAGTTATACTTGTGTTCTAGAGATTGTGTGCAGAAATGTAGATTTAGGCTGTTGTCTATATCCTAGGTTAACCAAAACATTTCAGGATTTGGATGCTTATTTATTTACTAAAAAAAAAAAAAAATAGAATCTTGAGAGATAACATGACCTAATAAATGATGAGACTATAGCTGTGAAATTGGCCATCTGAGGTTTAGATCCTGGCTTCACTGCTTACTAGCTATGTAATCTTGAATAAGTTATGTAGTCTTTCAGAGTTTCCATTTTCTTAGAGTGTATTTTCTAGGATTATTTTAAAGATTATGTGCAGACTTAATATACAACTTGGCATAGCAGGTGCTCACCCAGACTAACTGCTGTCATCATTCCCGTCATTGCTTACACTGTTGTCACCACCATCTCTATTCAAAAATGGCACAATTGAAGTCATAATCTGAGTCGAGGTTGGTGCTTAATAGTTGAAAATAATGAGATATAGAAAATTGAAATAGAGTACATATTTACCATTTTTGTACCACAAATATTATTGAAAGTATAATAAAAACCCTTCCCAGGCCATACCTGTGGCTCAAAGGAGTAGAGTGCTGGCCCTATATGCTGGAGGTGGTGGGTTCAAATCCAGCCCTAGCCAAAAACTGCAAAAAAATAAAAAATAAAAACCCTTCCCTTTTCCCTCAAAAATACATAAAATCTATTGTTATATAGGGTTTCAGGAGATTGAGCCCTGCTTGAAGCTTATAGTTAAGATTAGTGGGGTGGTGCCTGTGGCTCAATGAGTAGGGCATAGGCCCCATATACTGAGTGTGGCAGGTTCAAACCCTGCCCAGGCCAAACTGCAGCAAACAAAAAATAGCCAGATGTTGTGGCAGGTGCCTGTAGTCCCAGCTACTCCGAAGGCTTAGGCAAGAGAATCACCTAAGCCCAAGAGCTGGAGGTTGCTGTGAGATGTGATGCCACAGCCTTCTATTGAGGGCAACAAAGTGAAACTCTGTCTCTAAAAAAAGGTAATAAAATAAAAACATAAAATTAAATTAAGATTAATAATATTTACAAAATAGAAAGAGAAACCAGAATTTATGCAAAGATCTTTTTCACATATAAGAAATTGTGCTAAAATAGTAGCTCCAAAATCAGTCTATAGTATTTCCTTCATAATACTAATAAATTTTAATTTTAGGAATATAATTTGAATTTTTTAATATAGTTGAGAAAATTATCTTTAACAATGTATTATGTCATTATTCATTGCTGTTCTTTCTATTTACCACTTCTGGCGTAAACTGATAGCTTCTTATTTTTATGAGTCCTATTATTTTAATTTATTTTCATTTATCTCGGTTTAAAGTTTTTGGTAGTAGTTTTCATTAACAAACTTCTTGAAAAAATTCTGGTTGTTTCTAAATACTGGCTGATTGGTATCCCAGAATTGTTAACAAAAACTATCAAAACAAATAAGTGATAGATTGTCTAGTAAATTCTACACGGTGCCTGAGGGTAAGCTGATTCTTAAAGACAAATGGGCAAGTCCTGATAAAGGGAAGCACTAAAGTAACAGGTAGCATCAGCTTGGATGGTTTTGACTTAAAAGCTGTTCAGTAGGAAACTGAGTAGCTTTCTTAGAAGTTAAATTCTGTTACAATAATTCTCACATTAGTTATTGAAATTTTAAGTGTGCTATATGAATACTGTTAACCTCCTCTCTTTCATGGCATGTCCCAGCCTGAAGTTGATGCAGATGTTGTACGCTGGCTCTCCTGGACTGCCCAGGGCTACTTAGCCCCTCTGGCTGCAGCAGTAGGAGGTGTTGCCAGCCAAGAAGTACTAAAAGCTGTGACTGGAAAGTTTTCTCCTTTGTGCCAATGGGTTAGTTCTGAATTTTAATGTTTTTTATTTATACATTTGAGGTTGAATTCTCTACTCACAAAATAAATGTGTTACATATTATTCTGTAGTGTTGATATATTTGAAAAGCAACCTTCAAATAGTTTTTGATGCATGAGAGAGATGCAATTAATATGCTCCCCAAACCTATTTGTGTAATTGAAATCAACAGGATGATATTTGGGGACTATTGAGATATAACCCAAAGTTGTCTTCTTGATGTATTTCCCTCAGTTGTGAGAGTAGGGGAAGAGTTTTCTGTCTTTCTAGCTGTTCTCCACTGCTGTCAGCTTAGTGTTCTCAGCTCTCAGAACTCTTGAGCTTGCTCCATGGAGTCTTTTGTATCATGAATCTTCAGGTCCCTTCCTGAGTGTAAACTTCTAAAGATGGAAGACACAGGCATGGCACAGGTTTCAGGTCTGTGCAGGGTGAAAACATCACAACATGAATAAGAACTCTCATTTCTGTTACCAGAAGAAATAATTGGCAGAAGGAATCAAAGGAGACACTCTCTTTAGACACTTTCTTTTTAAAATACTTCATTTATCTTACTTTTATATTTTAAAAAGTACGTAATGTTATTTTGCTGCTGAGTTCTTTGATTTCTTTTAAACAGAATACATTAATAAAAGTGTGGTCTACATACAACTATTAACATGAGAAATAAAATATTGTTATTAATATCAATTTTATGTTATAATTCATAAGTATTTGATCATCTTCAAATTTAGCCACATAAGTTACTTAAATGAAAGTGAGAATAAGAATCAGTTCTTTTCACAATTGTAAGAGGGACTTTACCTAACAAATGCAATGATAACCAGGTTATCAGTGTAACCTGGTTTCTTGTACCCTCAATGAATCCCCAACAATAAGAAAAAAAAAATCAGTTCTTTTTTTCATTTACTTAAACTAATTGTTCAGTAGTTTTAAAAATGCCAAAATATTAGTGTCCGAGATCATTTTCTCTATCGTGTGTGTAGCTATAGATGATATAATTTATCCAACCTGGAACATACATACAAAAGTAGGTACTTTCTTCTCAAAAAGTAATCGAATTGTTTATTTAGTTATAGCTGAAATTGAATAGGGCTTCCGAAGATTTTATGTAGTTATAAAAAATAGATTTGGAGATGAAATTTCCTTTGGTTTAAAATTAGAATATATCATCTTTAGGATGACTAAGTGACAGTAATCAAGTTATGAATCTTTTAATAGTTTCTTCAAGTTTTACCTTCTTTTAATGAAGTAATGTAGTACTATATAATATATATTTATAAATTATGTTTTTAGTATTATTTTGCTCTAAATTGGTGTTTGTAATAATTTTTCCCTTAATCATTAAATAACTATAGAAAAGAATAACTTCTGTTCATAGTATTTTAAGTTTTATACATAATAAATTGTGTTTTTAATCTTCTACTTTAAGTTATATCTTGAAGCAGCGGATATTGTTGAATCCCTAGGCAAACCTGAGTGTGAAGAATTTCTCCCACGGTAATTTCTGTGGCTTTTTCTTAGTTGAGTAAGAAGCATATATAGAGTTTTTGTCTAAACATCCATTTGTTTTATTTTTTCTTCTTATTCATTTATTTTTATAGTTATTTCTTCTCTACTTAAGAGTCACTTTCAGTATTATTATACTATATCTCTTTATTATTTTATAAGTAATTAATGCAAAGTTTAAATTGTATACAATGAGAATAGTTAGCGTTTAAAATATCATAATAATGTTAGATTAAAAAATTTCTACTGCAGTCTTGTTCATTTTTCATCTTTTGGGATCATAAATCTCTTAGAGAATCTGATAAAAATTTAGAGATTTATTCTTTCTAAAGTACACATTTCCCAAACATCTGCTTCAATTTAAGTGGGTTAACAACTCCAGAGTCCATTCATTCCTCTAAGAGCTTTTCCTAAAAACCTCTGGCTCAGAAAAAATTTTTTTCTAAATAAACTAAAGTCGACCTTCACCTAAATCATTTGGACTTACACTATTAAGTCAAATAGAAAAGAAAAAAGAGAGGTTGGGAGCCATGGTTCACACCTGTAATCCTAGCACTCTGGGATGCTGAGGTGGATAGATTGCCCTGAGCTCACAGGTTCTAGACCAGTGACCACTGAGCAAGAGTGAGATTCCCATCTCCTGTAGTCCCAGCTACTCAGGAGGCTGAAGCAGGAGAATCATTTGAGCCCAAAAGTTGGAGGTTGTGAGCTATGATGCTACGGCACTCTACTGAGGGCAACAAAGTGAGACACTGTCTCCAAAAAAAAAAAAACATATTTCTTTATGGTGTCTTTTCTCCTTCAAATAAGAATTCATGTGATAGGTTGGAACACATTTTTAAAGAGAATTCTATTCTTAAGTACAACATTAAAATATTAACCATAATGAAGCTAATCTTAATGTTTTTTGCTTTTCTGTTTCCTTGGTATACAAAATTCTCTTCAGAGGAGATCGGTATGATGCCCTGCGAGCCTGCATTGGAGAGACTTTGTGTCAGAAGCTACAGAATCTAAACATCTTCTTAGTAAGTGGTTGTAGGGATAAGGAGTGTATTCAAACTGCTACTGAATAGCAAGTTAGTTTAATAAACAAATATAAGTCCAAGTAAGAGCATGAGCAGTTGTGATGGAGAACAGCCTACAAAGTTGGAAATATTGTCTGCCCTTTACAAAAGTGTTTGCCCTCTTCTGCTCTGAAGAATTAGTAGATTTAAAATAAACATACAAATATGACAGTTTTGAACATGAAGTGATTTTCTAGAAGTATATTTAAAATGAAGAGTCAAGTTTGGCTTTCTTCCCCACATGTGTGATGGAACATAGGCATAATTCTGTCTGTCTCAGTGAGCCATGCAGGATGTTTCCCCAGTAGCACAAAACGTCTCTTTCTGACTTTATTATCATAAGCAATACTGAAAGTACTGGTTTTTGTTAATTTTTTTTTTTTTGCAGTTTCTGGCAGGGCTGGGTTTGAACCCACCACCTCCAGCATATGGGTTGGGCCGGCGCTCTACTCCTTTGAGCCACAGGCACTGCCCTGTGGTAATCTTTTAAAAAAATTTTTGAAAATCAGCTACTGCTGAGCTTTTACATGCATATGGAATCTATTATCCATTTAAAGTAAAAAATTATAGTATAGAAGTCTTAAAATAGTCATCAAATGAGTTTTGAGAAATGTCTAAAAGTAAGGAACCTTTTTCATTAAAATGTACAATGTTTTGTGCTGTTAGTTTCTAGGTTATGTAACAAGTGAGCTCAATGTTTGAGATGTTTTCTGTTCAAAGGAATTTTTAAACATTTTCTTGTTGAAAGGAATTACAAATATTATCCTTTATTTGGTTTATTCTTTTTTTGAGACACTTATAACAGCACAATAAACTTATTAAATATTTTAAAGCAAAATGAGTAACAAATGTTCAGGTTATTTTAAAAAGTGTGTACCAACTGTACATTTGAAGAAAATTACAATGAAATTGCCCTTTAATAAGTAAACAGCCATATTATTTAATCTGATAAATATCATTTTTCTCCTCCATAGGTTGGGTGTGGAGCCATAGGCTGTGAAATGTTAAAAAATTTCGCTTTACTTGGTGTTGGCACAAGCAAAGAGAAGGGAATGGTAAGGTAGAAACTTCTGAGAGTTAAAAGTTTGTGTTTCTGTCATTGCCCTTTTTTTTTTTTTTTGAGCTAATCTTTTCACTGCAAAGATCTGAAACATCAATATTTAAGGATAGGGTATTAAACTAGAAATCATAAGATTCTGATTCTCCCCTGACTACTTTTCAAAAGTTATATGACCTTGTGACAAATAACTTTAATTCTCTGCTCCTCAATTTTGTTCTCTAATACTGTAAAACTGAAATTTGTACTACCTACCCCTTGTAACAGTATTAGGACGATCAAATGAGAAAGGCCTTTGCAAACTTAAAACACATTATTATTGTTGTTATTTGTATTAGGTAGTTTTTATTAGTTGTTAAATCTTTAAGATGAGAAACGCTAATATTAGAAAATTCCAGGGTGTGTGGGGTCCAGACTTATGTGAAATTGTGAGAAGAGAAATAAATATAACCAACTTAGGACCATTGAAACCTTCAGAGCTTTGATTGAAACAGATGTAGCACTACATAAGGCAACACTTCATCCCCAGAGCATGTAGGACTGGGCAAAAAAACCCATCTCCAGTGAAGAAGATTCACATTGAAGAATGATAGTCGCTTAGAAAGAAGGAACCATCTGAAGAATCAGTCAAGGAAAACAGAAGAATTAATTCCACAAGAACTATAGATAATAGAAGAGCTACTGACAGTAGTAGAATCTGCAGATAATAGAACAGACTTTAAAGTTAAAAATTGTCAAAGGTAAGGAGGAATAGAAATGAGGAAAAACAAGGCAATGAAATTTTTACAAAAAGCCAAATAATTTCTGTATAATCAGTAATCTTAACATTTAGCTCTAAGTGAGAATAAATAAAAGTAAATATTAGTACCCAGAATGTTGTTTAGAAAAATACCTTTCTTTTAATGAAGGATGATGCATTTGCAAGGTCTAATATAAGTCTAGTAGAATTTTCAGAGAACATGAAGATAATGGATAAGAAATAGTATATTCCAAGGATAATGACAGAAGTTCTCAGAGTTGAAGAAAGACAAATGTTTGCAGATTCAAAAGATAAACAAGTCCCAAACAAATCAAAGGCAAAGATAAAGACTGCATACTAGACTTTTCATCAGCAGTATATTCTGGAGGGTAACAGAAGGGTATCTTCACAGTACTTGGGAAAATTACTGTCAGCCTAGATTTCCGTACTGAGCTAAGTTAGCTTGCAAGAAGGAGGGCAAAGTCAAGATACCTGATAAGTAAAATGATTAAAGATTAATGCATACTGATGCTTACTGAAAGGACTGTTAGATAATGTGGTCAGTATGTAAAGAGTAAGCAGAGGCGTTTGTTGAAATTCTTAGATTTAAACATTGATTTTTTAAAACTTGTTTTTTTTTTTGAGATGGAGCCTCAAGCTATCCCCCTGGGTAGAGTGCCATGGCATCACTCTCACAGCACCCTCCAACTCCTGGGCTCAAGCGAGTCTCCTGCCTCAGCCTCCCAAGTAGCTGGGACTACAGGCGCCTGCCACAACGCCTGGCCATTTTTTGGTTGCAGCCATCATTGTTGTTTGGCAGGCCTGGGCTGGGGATTCGAACCCGCCACCTTAGGTGTATGTGGCTGGTGCCTTAGCTGCTTGAGCCACAGGCGCTGAGCCGATTTTTTAAAACTTTTAATTAAATTAATACTGAGTGGGATGATTAGAAATAAGTGTAACTAAACTGTTGTTCACTGATACCATGGAAGGAAGAGGGTGAGAGTTCTAACTTAAATCAGATACTCTAAAATTGTTCAGGAGTAGGATAGAGATTTTAATTAATTAGATCTTAAATCACATGTACATGTTAAAATTTTGAGCATAGCCACATAAAAATAAAAATGTGGCTTTCAGACCAGTTTGTGGGGGCAGGAGGTTGGAATCTAGAAAACTTGATCAGTCCAGTAGAGGAGAATAAAAAGTGAGGTTGAAGGAGATGGAAGGAAAAATTCTTATAAATGTATCAGTAATCACAGTTATGAATTGATTAAGCTTTTGTGTTAAAAGATTGTTTTTTAATCTTTCATAACATCATTATGCAGAAATGTTGAAAATGCCAGGGAATTACCAGCTAAAATAAAATGAACATAGGGCTGGGCACAGTGGCTCACACCTGTAATCCCAGCACTTGGGCACACTAAGTGAGGCAAGAGATCACTTGAGGCTAGGAGTTTGAGACTTCATCTGCACAAAATTTTTTTTAAAAAACAGCCATGCATGATGGTGCACACTTGTAGTCCTAGCTAACCTAAAAACTGAGGCAGGAGGTTCACTTGAGCCCAGGCGTTTAAGGCAGCAGTGAGCTATGACTGTGCCACTGCACCTCTAGTCAGGCTACCAAAGCGAGACACTGTCTCTTTTAAAAAAGGGGTCTCACAAAGAAAAGAAAGAAAATCAATGTGTTTATAAACACCAATTGGCATGTAACAACTGGAACACAGTTTGAGAGATACTGCACTTAGACCAAGCTTGTTTAAAAACACTAGCTTTAAATGACAAGTATATTCTGAATACTCTTTAGATTATCTTGGATGTCTTTACTTCTTGCTTATCCTTTAGGATGAGAGTCTTAAAGGACCAGCTGTGCCCCAGGAGCATGAAAACAGCCACAGACAGTACTTAACAAGTGTCATGACAGTGTTCCAGTAGCACTTTATTTACAAAAACAGACAGCCTACCCAGAGGTTTGGAGACCTCTGCTTTAGCCAGAGTTCCTTTCAAATGTAAACATTTAAGCATTATTCCCAAATTAGTTGAGATTAAGAATAAATATAAGTTTAGGAAGAAGAGCTAGCTCCTCTCTGGGTAACTCATTACATAGTTCTAACAGGTGGTAGTGATCTTCCTGGCCTCTGTTTTGTTATAAATAATTTTTTTTATGTTTTGAACAGAAATTGCAGTTGGGCTCAACTGTTTTGTTTGATGTGTCCTATGCTAAACTTTAAGTATGATTAAATATAAAAGAGAAGTATTGGTAACCTTTTTTGAATATTTGTGTTATAATCTGTACCAGCCAAAATAATTTAGAATAATTCCTGGGGGTTCTTTTAGTCATACTGAGCAAAGCAAAATAGATGAAAATTTATCCATAATGTAACTTCAGCTATTTCTTCTTGACATTAGGTTACAGTTACAGACCCTGACTTGATAGAAAAATCCAACTTAAACAGACAGTTCCTGTTCCGCCCTCATCACATACAGGTATGTTGCTTGTTAGTCTTTTTTAAGTCATCTGTTGTCCTATACAAAAAGGAAGAGAGTCCCTTTTTATAAATAGAATATAGGGATTAAATAAGCATGTGTCCTTTATTAGAATTTCTTACATTATCAAGTAGTAGGAAGGACAAAAGAAAAGTATGAAATGATTTTTAATGCACAATATTGATTTTTTTTTTTTTTTTTTTTTGAGACAGAGTCTTACTATGTCACCCTTGGTACAGTACTGTGGTGTCACAGCTCATAGCAACCTCATACTCTTGGGCTTAAATGATTCTCTGCCTCAGCCTCCCAAGCAGCTGGGACTACAGGTGCCCACCACAATGTCTGGCTTTTTTGTTGTTGTAGTTGTCATTGTTGTTTAGCTGGCCCAGGCCGGGTTCAAACTATGGGTGCTGAACTATGGGCACGGTCCCAGAATATTGAATTTTGCCTTGACTTTGGATATTAAAATCTGAGTTGTGAAACATGGACAGTATTTTTTCACTTTGTCATCACTAAGGTGTCTTTACTTATTAATTTTAGAAAGAAGGTATATAGAAACAGTTTTTTTTGAGTCAGAGGCTCACTTTGTCACCCTAGGCAGAGTGCTGTGGTGTCATATCTCACAGCAACCTCAGACTCTTGGGCTTAAGTGATCCTCTTCCCTCAACCTCACAAGTAGCTGGGACTACAGGTGCCTGCCACAATGCCAGGCTATTTTTAGAGACAGGGTCTCACTTATAGCTCAGGCTGGTTTCAAACTTGTGAGTTCACATGATCCACCCGCCTCAGCCTCTCAGAGTGCTGGGACTACAGGCATGAGCCACTGCACCTGGCCTAGAATGTTTTTTTACTTTGAAGTTTTGACAGATCATAAATTTGGCACTTTTTTTTCTGGTCTGTTACAAAGTACTTAAAGTTTAGCACTGAAAATTTTTTGCTCTTTTGATTTTATTTGACTATTTACAAGTCCCTTTTTATTGTAAAATAATGCTTGTTCTCGGTCTTTTTTATAGAGATCAAAATATTAAGTAAAGAAGCAGTGTCAATCAAGCAAATTTGCTTTAGAATTTTTTTTCTCTTTACTATTGAGCAAACTCATGACCACTGTTAATAAGCTAAGCTTAGGGGCATCATGAGCAGAAAGTAACAAGCTGGAGGCACTGTAACCTTATTGCCTCACTTGTCCACACATAAAAGACAGAGGAGCAGAGTCTCATGGACTAAATGTTAAAAAATTTGTTTGGTTAACTTGGTGTATCTTACACAACTGTAAAGGCTATTCTTATTTTGAGCTCTAACAAAGTTTTGAATTGATTGCACACCAAGAATACTGAATAAACATGTCCGCCTAACCATGTGAAAAGAGACAAAAACCGTTAAAACTAGGTAGATGCATGAATTCTTACAGAATGGTCTGGAGAGGTGTCTAAGTACATACAAACTTTGATAGCACCTGACATGATACCAGTGATTTAATAATGATAACTAAATCTCTAAATGAAAGAATGAGTTATATTTAGGGTATAGTAGTCTCCCTTACCCGAAGTTTCACTTTTCACAGTTTTTTGTCTGTTGGGGATCTCATGGACCCCAACCTGGGACAGTGATCAGCAAGGGAGATGGTGCTGGAAAACGATGAGACTTTACATCAAACTATAGCAGATAGCTTGGAAGCCAGTAAGGGCATACATTGTTCCATGTGCCAAGCAGCAGCCTGTCCCGTTTCTCAGGAGTCTTTTTGTTGGGTACATAACAGAATATATGTGTAAGAATGCACAGCACTCAAGGTTAAAAATGGGAGGGGATATAACAGCCCCCGGGAAGGCTGGGTAAAGGGTAAAGAGGGACACAGGGTAATGGAACATCTAAAGCAGCCAGATAATCTATACAGGAAGAAGACAAAGGGGAGGAAGCAAGTTTCGTCCCTCTGAGTTATCTTCACTTTCCTAACGTAGTCTGCCTGTACTGCTGAATCCCCATGCAAGGGATGTCACACAGACATTCCACTGACTTTTACCCTGAGTTGCGAAGGCCCTTGAGGAATTCAGCCTGCTCTCTCCCACTGTTATCTATAGTAGACTATGGCCTGAAAATAGGTAGGTACAGTATAGTATAAAAAGATACTGTATTTTGAGAGAGATCTCAGGCACATAACTCTCAATAAAGTATATGGTTGTAATTATTCTATTTTATTATTATTGGTATTCATCTCTTACCATGCCTGATTTATAAATTAAACTTTATCATAGATATATATGTGAAAACATCATATTTAGAGGGTTTGATACTATCTGCAGTTTCAGGCATCCTTAGGAGCTGAATATATTCCCTGTGTATACTGGGAAACTGCTATACTTTTTGTTTTAATTAAAATGGAAACAGAAGCAATAATTTTTGAAAATACTTCTCTACCCAGCATTAGTAATAGTTTTAAAAAATTTTAGTACCAAATGTTAAGCTGCCATACTCCTAAGAACTTATTTTCCGCAGAGTCTAGATTTCCAATATTTTATTAAATTTGTTCTTTTTTTTTTTTTGTAGGTGCTTACCAAGTCAAACATTACTAAGGGAAAATGTACTTTTAACGGGACTTTCACCTATTATTTTAAAAACTTTAAAGTACTTAGCTGTGAGATAGAAGTTACTTATATTTTTATTAATAATGTGTAAATTACTTGGACTAATGTGGTTTATTAAAGGTAGTGTGACTGTAGTGAATATAGTTTCCAGAAACCAAAAATATGAACTGGTCTCATTAATTTATTCTCGCCTCATCTATACATTTAAAGTGATGAGAATGTGTAAGTTCAATTACAGTTCTTTTTTTGTGTGTTTAATATTTATTCTTTCTGTTTTTTTATTTGTTTAGAAACCTAAGAGTTACACCGCTGCTGATGCAACTTTGAAAATAAATTCTCAAATAAAAATAGATGCACACTTGAACAGAGTATGTCCGGCAACAGAGGTCATTTACAATGATGATTTCTTTACCAAACAAGATATAATTATCACAGCTCTAGACAATGTGGAGGCCAGGAGATATGTAGACAGGTATGTCCCTAAAATTCAGGTTCCTGAATTCTCTTTTGTTTTTACTTCTGTTTCCCACAGCTACTTACTGAATTTTCTGATACTCCTCTTTCCATAGTCCTCATACCCAAACCCTTTGGTGATTTCTCATCATATTTAGAATAGAATTGAAAACCTGTAACATAGACTAAATTTTTCCATAGAGTACCTCCCACCTGGCTGCCCTCTAACTTAAAATTTGTGTGGTCCTCCCTGACTTCCCTTCTTCCAACTACACCTGCCTAAGTGGCTGTTAGTGCTTCTTTACCTCAGGAACTTGTACATACCATCGTTCTTCAGCCTCAGAAATTTCTATTTTTCTTGCTAAAAAACTCCTGACCTCAAATCTGTCTACCTCCAAGTTTAGGGTTTTCCCCCCTCATCCTCCAGATTCAGCCTAAATTTTTTTTAAAAGTCTCTTTAGCCCCTGAATTCTAAGTTAGATCCCCCTATGATCATCTTTCGCAGCAGTCTGTACTTTTTCCTTCATAGCACTTGTATGGATATGCATGTTTATTTGTATTTTTTCTTAGTAAATCATGAATCCAGGGACATTTATTTTCCATCACTTTATCCTCGGTACCCAACACATGATGTCATTTAGTAAATATCATTAAATGAGTAAATGAGTGTAAATGCTTGCACCCTACATAAGTTCTTGCATCATTTTATAACTCCTTAATGTTAGGCTGCTCAATCAGATGTGTTAGCAGAGGAAAATACCAGCCAAAAAACACAGTGAAAAGTTTGTAATCTTGGGCAAAAGAAGTAAAAAGAAAATTTGAAGAAATTGAAGTGTGAAAAATAGGTATGATAAGTAGAGAGAAATAAGGTTAATATTTTTTGTGATACAGTAAATATTGAGAAGACATGTAGGGTAGAACATGTCAAAGCAAAAGAAAGGGTGACAAGTTAAGAATTAACATAGAGATAAAAGTTAACAAAGCCCAAGATTTGTTAATACCAGTAGTAGTAGAAAAGGACAGAAATGACTAGGTTGACCAGTAAATCAGTGGGTTGTTTGATAGTGATGTTTTCTGTAAGACTACGTTTAAGACAAGAGGGATCAGTGTGTATAAGTGTCAACAGGCAGTGATAGGATATCCTTGCTCACATTGTTACTGCTCACTTTTATGTTTTTGACCTATTATCTTTTCAAATAGCCGTTGCTTAGCAAATTTAAGGCCTCTCCTAGATTCTGGAACAATGGGCACGAAGGGACACACTGAAGTTATTGTACCTCACTTGACTGAATCTTACAATAGTCATGTAAGTGAATCAATATTTTGAAGTAAATGTCTGTCGTCTTTATATCTCGTTTTTTTGTCTTCATCAATCAACAAATTTGATTAGGCTTGCCTCATCCTTCTGATTTGGCTTTGCAGTCACGTCCATGCCTATGTGCATGTATATTTCTAAAAATATAATTGAACATGTTATTTTTTTACTATCAATATTTTGTGCCTCCTTAAAAGAAAGAAAAAATACTGTACATATTGAGAAGGGAACTATCAATAAGGACATTAATTCACTTGCTGACTTTCTGATTTTGTTCTGTCAGACGTCAGCTAGCATGTGGACAGTAAGAAGGTAGGGCTTACGAGTCCTTGTGTGCTCGTACGTGGTGCTTACTTCATAACATTTGGAATTTCCACCCAAGCAGGCATTATCAGAAATATCTGCAAAACTTGGTAAAAGGGCAAGACCAATGACCCACACAAAATCTTACTGAAGAACGAGATTCTTCAGAAGTGGGACCAAACTTTCCATATACATATATTTTTATGTAGATAGAACTTTAACATCTTCACAAGTGATTCTGAGATACTGTCAAAATTGAAACTACGGATCTAGGAAATAATTGTAAGCTTTGTAATTTCAAAAAGATAAACCTAAGTTAAATAATTAAGAGAATATTATTTTTACAAGCATAAGTATCTCTTCATCTAATGGGTATATTCAGTAATTTTTTTTTTTTTTTGAGACAGGTGTTAGTTACTATGTTGACCTTGGTAGAGTGCTATGGTGTCATAGGTCACAGCAACCTCAAACTCTTGGGCTTACGCGATTCTCTTGCCTCAGCCTCCCAAGTAGCTGGGACTACAGGTGCCTGCCACACCGCCAGGCTATTTTTTTGTTGTTTAGCCAGCCCAGGCTAGGTTCGAGCCCACCAGCCCCGGTGTGTTGCCGGCACCCTAACCACTGAGCACGGGCACCAAGTGTGTTCAGTAAAATTTTTATATTTTTATAAAGTTTATTTTCTCATGTACTGTCATGAAATTAGTTGATTTAATGTAACAGGCTAAAGTGACAAATCTAATTTGAAGATTAGCTGGAGAAAATCATGGTAATTGGTTATTAAAAGATTTTTGAAGTAGGGAATATTATAAAATTCAGACAGTCACCTTGATTTATTTATTCAGTTACATCTTTTTTGAACCTTCAGTGTCTTCTGACTTCATACTCATAAAAACCAGTATTTAATACTTTTCTGGCTTTCTTCTTTGACTTATACAATATTTAGTGATGTTTTATATTCAATGAGCTAGAATATAAATCTCTATGTAAAAAGTCAAAGTAAATCATTTTCAATTGGGTAAACCAATATGCCTAGGCTAAAATGGTTCCTGTACGAGAATATGGATTTCTTCAGTGGTATTTTAGGCATTTGCGATAACTTAGGCATTTGCCATTTGTTTGTTTTTTGTGATCTGTGATTTTTGTTTTTATGTTGTGATCACACATAATTTTAAAATTTGTGTATATCTCTTCTATTTTAATCCATGTAATGAGTTGGCAAAAGCACCATTAGCAATCACACACATACAGTTGTTATACAGTTTTATGTGTTTCTGAAGAGTTGTTGAAAGACAATCCCAAATTATAACTTAGCCTGACTTAGGTAGTAAATAATTCAAAAGTTTAATTTGCCATTTCTTGACATACTGACTTTTAAAAGCATGACCTCATAGATTGTCTATAAAATAAGAGAAATGTTAAATATTCTTTATTTGACATTACACATAAACCACACTAAAATGCCTTTCAGTAAATGAAAGGCAGCATTTTAGTAGATCCAGGGAAATTAGATTGGCATAATAAAGATCAAAAGTACAAAGTAAACATTGCTACCTTTTCTCCAGCCCTCACCTTTAACAGGCCTAATGAACACCAATTAAAACATCAATGAGTCTTGCTTGGTTCTGAGACAGTGAGGGGATTTCCCCAGTACTTAAATACATTCACATAATCACTTCTATAAATCTTAATATAAAACCAATCTTCAATAAGCTTTGGGATGGCAGTTGACTACCTTTGTGAAAAGGTAAAATCACTAATTAAATCTGAACATATCTTTAGAAATGGAAAACAGTGATAGCATTTACTGAACTGGAATCACTATCAAAATCCAAAAAACTGATCAGATTCATTTAACCACAAGCCAGTCTTAGTTAAACTGGGACTGTCCAACAAAAATATTCTGTCACTCATTCATGATCTGAATTCTGGTAAAGGAGACCAGTCAAATTATGGTACACATAAAAAAAGCTGTGAGATATTTCTCTTTTGTAATAAATAAGGCAGTGGCCAACTATTACTCATCTGTAGCTTTTTTGAGATAAGCTATCAAGTCTGCCCATTCTCCCTTCTTCTTACTGCCAGCAAAAATCATTTTTGTTCCAGGGATGTACTTCTTGAGATTCTCCAAATACTCCGTCAGTGTATCCTCTCCCCAGGTTACGCCTTTGTTCTTATTGGCATCTGTGTAAGAGAAGCCAGCAACCTGACCTGTCTTCCTCCCAAAGAGACCATGGAGATTTGGCCCAGTCTTGTGCTTCCCTCCTTTTTCCACAGTATGGCACTGGGCACACTTCTGAACAAAAATCTTCTTGCCTTTCTCAATATCACCCGTATTTAATTCGCTCTTTGGTTGCTGACGTACCAAAGTTCCAAGCTAGAATCCGGATGTCTCGCTCTCTCTTGCCATTTGTTAATACATGTTTTCAGCAAGAAACTATACCAAGCATCAGGACATGTTATTCCTGCTCATAATTTTTTTTCTCCATGGAGAAGCTCATGGTGTACCAACCTAAACATATTCCCATTACATTGTGGGTTTTTTAATTACTTTTCAAAGTAGATAGTATTATAAAATTTTATTTATTTTTATTTATTTTTTTATTTTTTGAGACAGAGTTTTATTATGTCACCCTCAGTAGAGTGCTATGGTGTCACAGTTCACAGCAACCTCAAACTTTTGGGCTTCAGTGATTCTCTTGCCTGAGCCTCCCAAGTAGCTGGGACTACAGGCACCCACCACAACGCCTGGCTATTTTTTGTTGTTGTTGTCATTGTTGTTTGGCAGTCCTGAGCTGGATTCAAACCCGCCAGCTCCAGTATATGTGACTGATGCCCCTGCTGAGCTATAGGCACCAAGCCTATTATAAAATTTTAAATGTCACCTTAATTTTTGGAGAAAAATATCACGTACATATGGTATTTCACCATGAGTGCTCCATGGCACTCTAAATGAGTGCATAGGTAATAAATGGGATTCATGTTTATCATTACAGTAATCATTCATGTTTATCATTATATTGCTATTAACAAATAGGTTAAATGTTCAAAGAATTAACTTTTCCTCTTTGCCTAAGAAGGTGTAAAAGTATGTGGTTGGATTTTATTTATTTTGGATCTTATTTTTTTTAATGGTCTTAAAAGTAAATTCAATCAAAAAAATAGTAAATTCAAATCAATAAAAGTAAATTCAATCAATAAAAATTTGTCATTACGTCTCTTAATATGTGTTATCATATTTCATTAATTAGCGGGATCCCCCAGAAGAGGAAATACCATTTTGTACTCTGAAGTCTTTCCCAGCCACCATTGAGCATACTATACAGTGGGCCAGAGATAAGGTAAAGGTTAAAAGGAATTCATTTTCTTTTTAGTAGAAGAGAAGGTATTTCCAACTTTAAATAGACTTCTATTTGTAACTTTTAATTTCTCTTATTTTACAGTTTGAAAGTTCCTTTTCCCACAAGCCTTCTTTATTTAACAAGTTTTGGCAAACCTACTCATCTGCAGAAGAAGTCCTACAGGTAGAAATCAGTACATTTTTATATAAATTTTTAACACCCCGTGTTAATGTAATCTTAAGTTGCCTGGAAGCAATTCATTTTACCTCCCTAAAAAGAGATTTTACCATTATTATTGTACACAGAAAAATGAAGCGATATATCAAGAATCTTGAAATTATGTCACAAATCACCTTTTTTATTTTTTTTAAGTTTTGTGGAACTATACAAAACTTAATATTTGACCATGTTTGGCCTACAAAACAGCAATTTAGATGCTTCTATCTGTAAAGATGTGATGATGATAGGAGGGCTACGAATAATAAAAGGGCTTCTTAGGCCATTCAGAAGTTGAGGTAAATTCTAGTGAGGAGACAGTAATCTTTCAGGCTTACTACTCTCATAACGTGAACAACTTCAAAGATGTTTTCTTACTTTAATCCTGTACAAAAAAGGCCAATTTTTAGCATCAAATATTATTCATAGCACTTCTTATAGTAAGTACATACATAGAACTGATAACTTAAAATTTCATGTGCTATCTTCTCCCAATTCCCCTTCTCTAAAAACAGAAAGGAAAGTAAACAAAGAGAAAGGGAGGGATAGGAGTGTAAAGTGAAAAAGTAAAAGCTTAAAACACATGAGCTATCACATGAAACTAATGTGGCTGTTGCTTTTCGAATATGGGGTATTTGTGTTTTAAATTGGAAGTATGTTCAGTTTTTTTTTCTTTCTCTCATTTTAGAAGATACAAAGTGGACACAATTTAGAAGGCTGTTTTCAAGTTATTAAATTACTTAGCAGAAGACCTAGAAATTGGTCCCACTGTGTAGAATTAGCAAGACTAAAGTTTGAAAAATATTTTAACCATAAGGTATGTATACATTGTGAGTTGAGATATTTTGAAAAGGTCTGACCTTGGCTCATTTCAGTATTAACAAATTAACTTGAAATATGTACTCTCTATTTCATCAAGCTTTTCAGAAATAACTAGTACGTTAAGTGAGAACATGATCCGGGCACACAACTAATTCATCTTTGAGTGTTACTACTTAAAGAAGACATTTAGATTCCGCTCCTTGGCTTATCAACCTATGCATTTATGGATCCTGTCCTTGTGTGCAGAGTCAGGTTTTAGATAGGGTTTTCCTCTGGAGACTAAGGAATGTACTTTGTCTGTATAAGAAGTAAGAGACGAAGAAAGTAGAGATATTCAGTGAGAAATTTTGTTGGAATTTTGCCTTTTCCACCCTATCTAATAATGAAATTTTATGCCTTTTTCCTCATCTGTAAAATAGGGATAATAGTGAGGATCAAATGACTACTAAGATCAAAAGCATTTAGAATAGAGGTTGTGCACATAAATCATCACCAATATTAGCTATTATTTTTACCTCCAGCCTTTTATCTTCAGGCTTTTACCTATCAGATATAAATTCTTTTTTTTTTTTTTTTTTTTTTTTGAGACAGAGACTCTCTCTGTGTCTGGGTAGAGTCCTGTGGAGTCAGAGCTCACAGCAACTTCAAACTTCTAGGCCCACACGATTCTCTTATCTCAGCCTCCCAAGTAGATGGGATTGTAGGCACCTGCACAACACCCAGCTAGTTTTCCTATTTTTAATTAAAGACTGGGTTTGCTCGTGCTTAGACTGGCCTCTAGCAGTCTGCCTTCCTTGGCTTCCCAGACTGCTAGGGTTACAGGCTTGAGCCACTATACAGAATATAAATCAAATTCATCTTTTTAAAAAACCTTTTGATTACATTTTTCCAGTCTTCTCACTTTCATTGTGGCTCTGTACCTTGGAAACATAATCTGTTCCTGGCTAATGTCGCTTGTTTCACCTTGCTGTTCAGATTGTTCTTACCATGATTATCAATGATCTCTTTATTTCAAAATACAATTTTTTTAGTTCTTCTCTCAAATTTTTTTCAAACCTTAATATTAAAAATATTTGGCCATTGAAATGGAGAGGAAATAATATAATGAACCTTAATTAATGTAATTATTATTTACCTATCAGCCAGGTTTAATAGTTATCAACTCATATATAATCTTGTTTTGTCTATATTCCCACTCATATGCACCCTCCCCCAGAGGATTTTGAAGCTAATTTCAAAATACAAAGTACTATGTATGTTTTCTAGTATTATTTAAGGATTACATCTTCGAATACAGAATGGTGTGATATATACCATCATTTATATAAAAAGGAGTGAAATAATCTCTATGTGTGTTTGCTGTGGATGCTTCCCCCAGAAAAACTATGTAACTACTGGCAAAAAATGACATAGAGGTTTTTCTAGTGTGGGAGGCAGTGACAGGAGATTGGACAAGTGGGACATGGGGTGGCTGGGAGACGTCACTGTGTCTTGTAATGTGCTGGTTTTTGACACGTGTATATTAACTAGACATAAAATTTTTTAATTTTTACTTTTAAAAAATATTTTGCCTCAGATAATATTAACTAGTGAGTTTCTTCAATTCATTTTTTTTTTCCTTTTAGGCTCTTCAGCTTCTTCACTGTTTCCCTCTAGACATACGGTTAAAAGATGGTAGTAAGTGTAACTTACAGTTGAGAAATCTTAATGTAATTTATTATTGGCTACATACATTGAAAATAATATTTGTACCTTTTTTGTTAGGTTTGTTTTGGCAATCACCAAAGAGGCCTCCATCTCCAATAAAATTTGATTTAAATGAACCTTTGTGAGTATTTATATCTAGTTGTATATGCATCCTTATTATAATTTTCTAACTATAAATTACCAAGTGAAAACCTTAAGCCCTTTAATGTTAAATTATTTCATTCTGGTTATCTCATTCTGGCCTACAAAGCCAACTATAGCCCTCTCCCACAAAAAGGTGAATCTGTTTATTTACTTTGTAAATAATGTCCATTTGTATAAGAAGTATCTACTCTAAGGTAAAACCAAAATCACCTCTTTGCCTTTATCCATAAAATAAAATGACAGTAAATGTTTTTATATTTAATGTTGCCAATATATAAGAATCTTTGTTACATAGAGGAAAAACAATTGCTGAATATCTACCTAAATAATCTGAAATTACTTTTCAGAGAAGTCTCTACTTAAATGCTTAGATACACTATTTTAGACACACATTAGATTAACACTGATGTGTATATAGATTAAATATTTAGTTTTTCACTAACTTTCCTTTTAACAAATAATGCTTAATTTTCTCTGTTTTTTGTTTTAGTCTTCCAGTCACCTTACCTAAACCACTTCTCCTATAAGAATTTACTATTTTGTGTTTTGAAACAAACTTGTTTGCTCAGTTTAAATCTGATATATATTCTTTAAGACCAAATGAATTGTATTTTCTTATGAATTACAATGAATTTTCTTTAACTAGTCTTATTTTTTTCCTACCTCTGGCCCCTCAGTTCTCTTTTTAAAGTAGTCATGGTCACTGCCCGGATATTAGTGTTTTTGATGGCAAATATTTGATTTCTCCTTTGTGACTTCTACACCAAAATTTCATTGTCTTACTTTAAAAAAATAATCCTATACAAAATTCTAGTTGTTTTCTTTTATCCATATTTTAAAGGTTATATATAGTTCCTAATGAGTTAAACATCATCTTTAAAACTATGCATTCAAACTTTGCTTTATTTTTTCATTTCAAAAGACACCTCAGTTTCCTCCAGAATGCTGCAAAACTGTATGCTACAGTATATTGCATTCCATTTACAGATGAGGTAAGATGCTCTTTAAAGCCCTAGCAAGTGGTATAAAACTAGGTTAAAAGTAGATGACTAGGAGGCCCCAGCAGTCTAGGAGCAAGTGGAGGGAACTAGTGTACAGGTCTGACATTCTTTCTGTGAAAAGCATAGTAGTTTTGTGTTAAGAACAGTAGTAGTTAACTTCAAAGGATGCCTTGGCTCTTCCTAAATAGCTTTTTAGTAATGAATGTGGACCTGATAGCCTTAAATTTATATGAGTTCATTTTGAAGCATTTAAACATTTTCTTGTTTCTCAAGGTATGAATTCCATTTACTTATTTTATTTATCAAGTATAACTTTGTGTGCAGAACTTTGTAAAAAATTGAAGCTAACAAAATGGCAGATAATCCCTAATTGCAAGGCACTTAGGCTTATATTCACAACTAGTTATCAAATTACCTTTTTAGAAATTTGAAGAAAGAATTAGGATTGTAGGTTTGTTGACTAATAACTACTGTTTCATCCCTAAACTACCCTCCTCTAATAACATTTACAGATGACATTTGTATAGAAATAAAGGTAAATGTGTTAAATGGATGTGGTGTAAATATTCAGGCGATAATGATTGAAATATTTTAATATGATTAAGGACCTTTTATAAAATGTTCTTAGCTGTAGAATTCAGAAATAGAATATCTTTGTTGATTGCTTTTTTAAAAAACAGGATTTATCAGCAGATGCCCTCTTGAATATTCTTTCAGAAGTAAAGATTGAGGAATTCAAACCTTCCAACAAGGTATGTTAAAAAATTCATTCCTTTAGCAGATAGTTCTTAAGCTTTAGTCTGTATCCATAATGCTGAATGTGGAAAATAGTACACCCTGTGGGTGTCGTATGCCACTCAGGTGGAGATGTACTATAAAGAGAAGTGCTAAAAGCCTGTAACAAGGTAGTGTGGACATGAGTGTTAAGAAGAAAAACGGGAAAGAGATGAAGAATGACAGAGGCCAGCCGTGGTGAATCATGCCTGTAATCCCAGCACCATGAGAGGATTACTTGAGGCCTTGAGTTTAAGACCTGCCTGGGCAACATAGTGAGACCTGGTCTCCATTAAAAAAAAAAAATCAGGCAGGTGTTGTGGTGCCAATATTCCCAGCCACTCTGGAGGCTGAATCAGCAAGCCCGCATGAGCCTGGGAATTCAAGTCTGCAGTGAGCTATGATTGTGCCACTGCACTCCAGCCTGAGCAGCCAAGTGAGACCCTGTTTCAGGGGAAAAAAGCGATGGAGCTAGTGTTGTCATATAAGGATTGGAAGGGGAAAAGCTCCTTATAATAGTGACATGTGAGCAGAAACCTGTAGGAAGTGAGGGGATCAGAGAAAAGAAGTATAGCTGCAGGAGCCAGTAGAGAGAGAAGCTTAGAGGGCTTTGCTAACAGAACACATGAGGGGACAGTGGGAGACTGTGAAATCAGAGAGGCAGTTGAGGTTGTGATAAGTACTTCATGCTCCACTGAAAGATGAGAAGCTAGTGGAAGATTTTAAGCAGAGGAACAAGATAGTCTGACTTACATTTAGGAAGATGAGGTAACTCTGGCTGTTGTGTGAAGAATAATTTTATGTGACATAAAAGAGCAAGCCGGAAAGGCTATTAGGAAATGATTGAAATGTGCAGGAGGGAGGTAATGATGGCTTGAATGAAGTAGCAGTTAACAGGAAAGTGAAGATAAAAGGTTAGATTGTGTATATATTTTACTATAGCCCTTTCTAAGGAAAATTGGAGTCATTTTCTTAGTTGACATTATAAGCAAGCTTACCAGCTCAGAATGGAGGGGATAAAAGATAAAGGAAATTAGAACAGAAAAGAGTATGAAATAATTTTTCCAGCAGAGTGGACAAATCACTTAGAAGATGTAGTAACTTTGCAAGACAATAGTTGAGGACCTACTTAATGTTAACCTGCTTCATGTGTTCTGCTAAGCTTGGCTGTAGAAGCGATCACCACCTTTTCTGCAGTTAACATTTGCTATGTAGGTGCTGTTGTGTTGCATAAGAGATGGAAATTGGGACTTTGTGAAGCAAATATATTGAAAAGAGAGATAAAGGAGTATTAATAAAGATGGTATGTGAAATTTAGGCAGAGTTAAGAAAATTTGAAAATATCAAACATTTTCATTTTCACTTTTTTTTTTTTTTTTTTTTTTTTTTTGGCCAGTGCTGGGTTTGAACCCATCACCTCCAGTATATGGGACCAACACCCTACTTCTTTGAGCCACAGGTGCCTCCCCATTTTCACATTTTCACATGAGCAGTATATACCTTTCTTGTATACACTCTAAAAATCATCCACAGAACAACCGTCTCTTCCCTTTACCCTCCACTACACACAATGTCCGAGTGATGACTGTCTCTCCGTAGAGTTCAGAAAGAAGTAGTTTGTGCAGTCTCCAATTCTGTGCTTGTATTTTTGGGAAAAGGAAGACTTGTGTGCAGTTAATTTTGCACAAATAGATGGGTTTGCTGAATGAAATGTCTGTGACTTGTGGTCTACAAAGAATAAAAATACAGTGGGAATAGACAGGGGTACCAAATGAAGAAGGCAGATAGCCCACGCTGCCAACACTGCTCATGCTTCAGTATGTCTTCTGGTTTGCAGTACATCTGTATCTGTGTCAGAATTTGGGAGTAATACATTTCCCTAAGCAGTTTAGCTGCAGTTCTCATAAATTATAGAGTTGGTAACAAATCCCTTAAACTCACACTAGAGCTTCAGCTCTGCACTTCCAGTTACATGTGTCACAGCCAAAACTGTATGCTGGGTATTCTGCAAACAAAAAGTTTGCAGAATAATAAATAGTACTTTAAGGGCCAGACTCAGTGGCTCACGCCTGTAATCCCAGCACTTTGGGAAACCCAGGTGGGAGGTTCACTTGAGCCACACAAGTTCAAGACAAGCTTGAGCAATGTAGTGAGACCCCATCTCTACAAAAATAAAAATGAGTTAGACATGGTGGTATGCACCTGCAGTCCCCACTACTTGGGAGACGGAAGTGTGTAGGATCATTTGAGCCCAGGAGTTTGAGGTCACCGTGAGCTATGATGACTTGATTGCACTCCATCTTTGGTGACGGAGTGAGACCCTGTCTCGAAAAAATCCCCAAACATATACAGACAAATAGTACTTTAGTGACGATGAAGGTAGTTTCTTGGTTTGAGAATATTAAGTCCAGTGCCCTCATGGAATATCTAAAAAGTAATTATTTAAGGATAAGTTACTTGTGTTATACATTGCCTTACTCATGCTAAACTTGCTAAATAAAGGAAGATATATTCTGTAGGAAAGAACTTATGTCAGCAATCAATATTTAAAGGATGCCCATACTTTATATATAATGTTATGGATTTCTTTAATTTCTTTCATCTTATAAAACAGCTATGCACTAGTTACAGCTCTGTAACTTGATTTTAAATCACAGACTGTTAGATTAATATTTACCTTATTTTACTGTGGAATTTTGAAAGAGATCTGTATGGACTTAGATCCTATGAGCTACTCAGTAAATATTTTTAACATTCACAGCAAACAGGTTTGTTTTAGATATATTGGGGCTCTCTCAGTGAACAAAACACATCAAAGTCTCTTCTCCCAGAAAGTTCATGTGCCAGTGACATGAACAAACACTTGAGTAACAGCATCGCACACACCTGCCGGGAGGTACAGTGGCATATGGAAGACCATAATGAATAATGATCTTATTAAAGTACAGTGAGGGAATATTTTTCTTTATGATTTATTTGATAAACATAAATGGTAACCAAACTTAGGTGCAGGATATAACATTAATAAAAAATATATTCATGTATTTAAAGGTTGTTCAAACTGATGAAACTGCAAGGAAACCAGACCATGTTCCTGTTAGCAGTGAAGATGAGAGGGATGCCGTATTCCAGCTAGAAAAGGCTATTTTATCTAATGAAGCTACCAAAAGTAAGAGGAAATCTTTATTATAATGTTTTAAGTAAGATTGGTTTTTATTTTCACTAAACTCTACACCCAAAAGTTTATAGAATTTAATAATACCAATAATGATTTTATGATCATATAAAAGTCACTCTTCATCTTTAACTGTGACCAAATTTGTCCTTTTCCCCACCACTGCCCTACCCTCAAAGGCTAGAATCTAATTCTCCCAGATCACATTAACTGCTTTGTTGTTATTCTGATTCTTTTAGTCCTTCAGAAGATGAGCAGGTCTAAAAACATGAGAGAATAGCTCTGTTTTTAATGAATTAACTCAGATTGATAAGATCCTTGTGGAGACTAATCTTCAGACAAACCCAAGTAAATCGCTCTAGGATAAACAACCATAGCCAGGACTCCCCTTAGGTATTTAGTCCCATAATTACCAACCCAGGGAGTACAGACTGACTTACATATATCCTTGCTAAGTGGTCTTAAATATCAAAATATAGGAAAACTGAACTTTTAATTCCTTAAAAACAAATCCATGCAGTCATCTTTTTCGACCTGCTCTCCATCTCCTTATTACATTAATCAGTGCTTCCCAAACTTCTGGTGTTTTATGCATGGACTTGTCAAATTTCAGGAAAAATAGTCCAGAATAATAATTATTATAATGATTCTGGGAGTCACTGGTCTATAAAATTTTCAAAAAGGTGCAAATTTTAATTTGGCCAACTGACCCTATTCTTAGGTATCAGAAGGAAAATGTTTCAGAGTAGGATTTATGGAATAAATTTTTGGACAATACCAAATGTTGATTTTTTTTTTTATTGTAAACAACTTGTTTGCAGATATGCAGTGCATACCTTTCTTATTTTACTGTTTATTAGGTCTCTTTAATATAGAAACTTTTCTAATTTAGTGGTATTTAAACATCATTTTCATGGTATTCAATAATTTCAGTAGCCTGAATTTTTCCTATATTTTTCAGTTATTTTAAAACATAAAAAGGAGTGTTACAGCTCTTTTAGAATTTGTCTAGCAGGTTTTCCGGTCTCTACCGGAAAACCCCCCAAAAAAAAAACAAAACAAAAAAAACATAAAAAGGAGTCTGTAAAGTAACAAACCCACATTGCTTTCTGCCTATTAAAAGCTTAACCATTTCTTAGGGAAATTGTTATTTTTCTGGGTTTTTTTAATCAGATGACCTTCAAGTGGTGGTGCTTTCATTTGAAAAAGATGATGATCATAATGGACATATAGATTTTATCACAGCTGCATCAAATCTTCGTGCCAAAATGTATAACATTGAACCAGCTGACCGCTTCAAAACAAAGCGAATAGCTGGCAAGATTATACCTGCAATAGCAACGTCCACTGCCGCAGTTTCTGGCTTGGTGAGTTCACTGTTCTTTGAAAAAAAATGTTCCTTTTTCATTTCCACTTCCCTGTATTTCCTGTCATTACCAACCCCACCAATTACTCTGAGATCTTAGAAAAGGATAAATACTGGATTTTAAAATTTAAAATTTCAGGTTATCTCTGAAAATAGTCATCTACATTTTAAGGTTATGTATATACATTTTAACAAAAATAAGCTCAAGATAGATGATAAATTTTTCTTAAGACCGTTGTCCTCTCAGTTGTCTCTGTAGCCACTGTACAGTGCAGATACCTTGTTTTGTTGAATACAGTGAACTGCCCTGGTCTTTATTCTTGGTGATTTACAACCTTTAGTATGGCCCTAGTTGTACCATATTATGTCATCACTCTGGAGTTAATCTTAGAAGCTGTGTAGTTATCTGTCCTTGTATTAAACGATATTAGACTGTCATATTTTTTTAATTCTGGTATCTGCTTTCAAAGTAGGGAAATTATGTAGTCATTAATATATATTTCTTTTTATTTCAGGTTAATGTGAGGGTATAAACAACCGGGTCAAAATATTTGATTTTGTTTGGTAAAGTTCCTCTTCTGGTTATGACCCACACTCAGAAAGTGTGCCAAACACCTGCACACTGTGCCCATTCAGTGGGAGCACCCCACCTCCTTCCCTTCCCCCTCTCTCATTACCCCTCCCCCCAACTTGAATTGATTTGAGTTTTTCTCTTACATGGGCATGTATTAGATCATCATCTACTGGCTTCGTACTAGTATTGAGTACATTAGATAATTGCTTTTACATTCTTGTGATATTTTACTAAGAAAATGTGCTTCAGCTCCATCCAGGATAATACAAAAGATGTGAAGTCACCATCTTTTTTATGGCTCAATAGTATTCCATGGTATACATATACCACAGTTTGTTAATCCATTCCTGGGTTGATGGGCATTTAGGTGTTTCCAAATTTTGGCAGTCATAAATTGAGCTGCTATAAACAATCTAATGCAAATGTCCCTATGATAAAATGATTTTTTTCTTTTGAGTAGTTGCCTAGTAGTGGGATTGAGGGATCAAATGGGAAATCTGATTTGAGTTCTTTGAGGATTCTCTATACTTCTTTCCAAAGAGGCTGTATAGTTTTCAGTCCCACCAACAGTGTAAAAAAGTGTTCCCTTCCCTCCAGATCCACACTAACATCTAAAGCTTGGGGACTTTGTGGTGTGGGCTAAGGGTGATATCTCAGGGTGGTTTGATTTGCGTTTCTCTGATGATTAAGGATGATGAGCATTTTTTTCATGTTTGTTAGCCATTCTTCTATCTTCCTCAGAGAAGGTTCTGTTCATGTTTCTTGCCCAGTGATAGATGGGATTGTTAACTCTTTTTTTGTTGATTGAGATCTTTGTGGATCCTAGTTACAAAGACTTTGTCCTATTCATAATATGCAGATATCTTTTCCCATTCTGATGGTTGTCTATTTGCTTTGGTTGTTGTGTCCTTAGTTGTGCAAAAACTTTTCAGTTTAATTAAGTCTCATTTGTTTATTTTTGTTCTAGTTGCCATGAAAGTCATCTTCATAAAATATTTCCCCAGGCTGACACCTTCAAGAGTTTTTCCATACTTCTTCTAGGATTTTTAGTTTCATGCCTTAGAGTTAAATCTTTTATCCATCTTTATTCAGTCTTTGTAAGTGGTGAAAGGTGATGGTCTAGTTTCAGTCTTTTACATGTGGTAATCCAGTTCTCTCAGCACCATTTATTGAATAGAAATTCTTTTCCCCAAGTGTGTGCTTTTGTTTGGTTTATCAAAGATCAGATGGCTTTTATCTCATGGTTAATTTCATCTCATTTTTTTCTATTTGGTTCTAAATGTCTATGTCTCTATTTCTGTGCCAGTACCATGCTGTTTTGATCACTATGGACTTGTAATATAACCTAAAGTCTGGTTGGGGGATGCCCCTGGCTTTGTTTTTATTACTAAGAATTGCCTTGGCTGTATAGGGGTTTTTCTGGTTCCATATAAAACAAAGAACTATTTTTTCCAAATCTTCAAAGTATGATGTTGATATTTTAATGGGGATTTCACTGAATCTGTAGATTGCTTTGGGAATCTTCCAAAGATTCTTCCCAGCCATGAGTATGGTATGTTCTTCCATTTGTTAATGTCTTCTGCTATTTCTTTTCTGAGGGTTTCATAATTCTCTTTGTAGAGGTCCTTCCTTCACCTCTTTTATTAGGCATATTCCTAAGTATTTTCATTTGGGAATTGTAATTCACCGTATCAGTAGAAGCAAAAGCAGTGACCTTATGATCTTCTCAATAGATGCAGAAAAGCATTTGATAAAATACAGCATCCTTTTCTCACAAGAACACTTAACAATATAGGCATGAATGGCACATTTCTCAAACTGAAGCCATCTTGACAAACCCACAGCTAATATACTGAATGGAGTAAAACTGAAAGCTTTTCCATTTAGAAGTGGAACCAGACAAGGCTGTCTCCTATCACCACTACTATTAACCATAGTGCTAGAAGTTCTAGCCAATACAGTCAGGCAAGAGAAGGATATAAAGAGCATCCACATGGGGGCAGAGAAGATCAAACTCACACTCTAAGAACTTTATTCACCATGTATAGAGTAGATTAAAAATTTGAAAGTATTAATACAAAATATGCTTGAAGTGTAGAGGCATATATATAAGAAATTTACATTATTTCAGATCTATAGCTGTTTTTACTATTCACAGAGAAATGATTGAAAACAACTTGGGAAAATTTAATAGATCCAATTAAAGTCACAAATAGTTTCAGGCTATTTGTATGAACAGAGTACCTTGTTTTATCTAGGTTGCCTTGGAGATGATCAAAGTAACTGGTGGCTATCCATTTGAAGCCTACAAAAATTGTTTCCTTAACTTAGCCATTCCAATTATAGTGTTTACAGAGACATCTGAAGTAAGAAAAACTAAAATCAGGTATGTATGAAGGTCTACTTCTCTTGTATAATGAGAAAAAATATTTTAACTTTAAAAATTCATCTCTTTTTTCAATATATATATATACACATACATATATATTGTGTGTGTATATATATATATATATCTCCTTGCCGTTACTTCCAGACCAGATCCTAATACTTTTCCTGAAGCATTCCTACACTCCTGCACTAGTCAAAGAAGTTTTCTATGACTTGACCAGCCATTCTGTTTAGCATTACAGTTTCATCTATGTCTACCTAACCCAGATGCATTAAAACTAAGTACTTTAGTATCTAACTAACTATGAATTTAAGATCTAATTTCACAAGTTTATGACAAAGCAAAACAATTTCCTAGACTCCATTTTTTACTTTTCAGATCAGCAATAATCAAAAAGTTGAAAAAAATCTATCTTGACAAGGCTGTGAGAAAGTAAATGCTCTGATATGTTGCTGATAAGAGCACAAAATAATCCTAATCCAACAGCAAGGGAAACAAGGCACTGTATTTCAAAATTGCAGATACATTTGCACACATTTCTAATTATAAATTGCAAGAGAATCATCCCAGCATTGTTTATCATGGCCAACACTTGGAACAACCCAAGTGTCCAAGGACAGAGGACTAGAGCCTTTGCACAGTGAGACCCTTGTAGCTGTTGAAAGAGACGGGGAGGAGAGAGTGAGCACTCTCCACCAAGACACTTGATTTATCATGGGACACTGGGAGAGTCAGCCACTGACAAAAGCAGTCACCTGTATAATGTGATGGGGAAATAAGATTATGAAATATTTTAAAAGTTGTATTTCCCCCCCCCATATTAATTTCTAGCTAAATTACAAATAATAGGCTGCAGGGTTTGGGAGTTTTTTGTTTTAAGAATCAGTTAAAGGGAAGAACATTTATATTTCTGTTCTAAATATTTTTCTGCAACAGAAATGGAATATCATTTACAATTTGGGATCGATGGACTGTACATGGAAAAGAAGATTTTACTCTCTTGGATTTCATAAATGCAGTCAAGGTGAGATTTATTAACTTGTTTGATTAGTAGCTTTGAGTCTGGTTTCTGTTTAGTTTTCATTCATAACTTCATTGGAAATTAAAAGAGATTATGTTATTTTTTAACACAAGTGTTTGTTCTCTTGGTACTGGTTATAAAATGTTTATAAACAATGTTAAACATTTTATTTTGGAGTAAAGCTTTGATTTTTTTTTTCATCTTTGGGTATTGACTTTCAGGAGAAGTATGGGATTGAGCCAACAATGGTGGTACAGGGAGTCAAAATGCTTTATGTTCCAGTAATGCCTGGTCATGCAAAAAGATTAAAGTTGACGTAAGTATTGAACGTGATATGCAAACAATTCAAAAGAATTGAAATGTAAGCTGGACACACATTGAAAAATTAAAATATAGAGATTAAAATTCAGTTAAGTGTTGCTCTTGTCTGGTGGTATTAGCAAGATGAGGAGGTTGCCAGGCGAGGGCCAACAGGCAACCTCTCAAGAGATTGATAGGGTTATAGTACCCTTGTAAGTTTATGACAGGTTAGAGTGAGCTCTTCAGGTACTAAGATTTAGAAACCTGATTTGGTAAATACACTTAAGTGGATCTACTGTTTTAAGTTGAAACACATAATACCTGGCACAGGAATAAAACAGAAATGCCAGATTGTTATCTTTATTCATTTATTCAACAGATTTTTGTTAAAGATGCCCACTGTGTGCTAGTACTCAAAGCATCAGGGATACAGCACTGAGCAAAGTTCCTTCCTACTTGAGTTTATGTAATAACTAGGCAAGTGTGTGAGATGACGGTAAGTGCCGTGGAGAAAATGAAGAGTAAAGGGAAAAGGAAATGTGGGAAGTTGGGGCTATTGCATTGCTTTGTTTACAGGGTAGTCTAATTGTTCTTCTGTCTATCAGATTCTCACTGGCAAGGTGGGAACTGAGCAAAGACTAAAAGAAAGGGAACCAAAAACCCACTGCTTTACAGTAGGCTGCAGGGCCTTAAATAATTGAGTTCCCAGTTACCCCTTTAAGTTCCTTTCCCATCTCTCCCCCTGCTTGCAGTAGTCCAGCTACGCTGGTTTCCCTAATGTTCCTTGAATACTTCAGTCATGCTTCAGCATGGGGCCTTTGCTCTGGTGGCTCCCTCTTGTAACTTTCTGAGATGCTGAGATGGCTAACCCTTCTTCTGATCTTTGCACTTTCTGAAGAGGCCCTTCTGCCCCACTTACCATGTAGTGCAGTAGCCTACCCGGCCCATCCAGTGGCCTCAAGCCCTGTGCTCAGCTCTGCTTCTCTCTCCCCTGTCACACTTGCCAATGTCCTATAATGCTGTGTGTATTGTAATATTTACTGTTTATGTCTGTCTCCTCCAAACTCCCACTGGAACTTAAGTTTCACAAGGGCAGGAATCTTTATTTGATCTGGTCAATGTTGTATTTCAAATACTTAGACCAATACCTGACACACATCTGTTGACTTTGCCTATGGTTATCAATTATAAATTATAATCCAGTTTTAATTATCTGTACATTAACAAATGAAACTATTGTTAAAGCATCAATTTGCCTTATATTTTTCATTAGGATCCTGAGTATTTTTGGATAAATTAAGAGTAGCATTTAGAATCCCTTTATTGTACTGTGCCTAGATAGTAGAATGTGTGGTTATGAAGTGTATTGATTAGTGTAATCTAAAGTTCACTGCAAATAATTAACAAAAATGCTTGAGAGTTGGCCAATATCAAACCTCCAGCATAACATTTTTGATATAACAATATTTCTCATTTTATTGCATTATACATTTAGCAGGTATTTATTGAGTGCCTATTAAGTGGCTAGACACCTTATGTCCATCAGTGGGGTTGTGATTAAAAGCATGAACTCTTCAGATTGCATGTGAAAACCCTACACTGTACCCCAGAAGTGCATTAATGTACATAGTTACCATTCAATAAAAAAAAAAAAAAGAGAAGATGAAAAAAAAAGCATGAACTCACCTTTAGGAAAACCTGGGTTCCTGTCCTTGCTCATCCACTTGGTTGCTTTGCCACTTGGAGTAGCTTCTGAAAATTAGTTCTTATCTAGTAGGATGAGATGATTGCACCCTGAGTCTTTATACACTAAAATAACATTAAGGGCTAATAGTGTAATGTGGCACACGAGAATTCTGTATATTACTACAGTTAATATTTTATTGTCATGTATCTAATAGGAATGACATTCCTCTCAAGGAATTTACAGTCTACTAAGAAATTGGCATGCTAATTGAAATGTAATCAAATAATTGTTATAATGAAGATTTTTTACAAAGTACTCTGGGCACTACTAACTCAAACCTCTACTTAGAGTAGCTTTCACTTGCAGAAGGTATTCTAGGCAAAAGTAACAACTGTCTGTGCAGACATAAAGCTTAGAGAGAGCATTGAATGGTCTGTTTTGGAAATCAACATTTTGGGGTTTGGGGTTTTTTTTTGTTTTTTGTTTTTTTTTTTTGAGACAGAGTCTTACTTTGTTACCCTTGGTAGAGTGCTATGGTGTCACACCTCACAGCAACCTCAAACTCTTGGGCTTAAGTGATTTTCTTGCCTCAGGCTCCCAAGTATCTGGGACTAAAGGTACCCACCACAATGCCTGGCTATTTTCTTTTCTTTTTTTTTAAGAGATGAGATCTAACTCTAGTTCAGGCTGGTCTTGAACTTATGAGCTCAGGCAGTCCATCACTTTGGCCTCCCAGAGTGGTAGGATTACAGGCATGAGCCACCATGCCCAGCTGGAAATCAAGCATTTTATAATAATTCAAGGGTAAGATGATAACAGTGAATGGTGGAAAAATGAAAATTATGTATGAAACAAAAATCTTTGTAAAATGAAAAGAGTTATTGAGGATTAAATTGCATAGTTCAGAGCCTAGCATAAAGTAGGTACATGGTATATGATAACATTATTAAGCAGGAAAATAACATCAAATTTACATTGTAAGAGAATTCTGGCAGCAGTGTAGATTGGAGGTAGAAGAGCATAGACTGAATGCAGCTGGCTAGAAGCTAAAGTAATAATCTAAGGGGCATAGAGATTTAAGAGGTATACCAATTTAAGACAGTAACGTGACAGCAGCAAAGATTGAGTGGTTTTTCAGTAATAGGATAAACATCAGATATGAGGGAAAAACTTAAAAAGAATATTTTTACTGTGGTGGTCCTAGCTTGCATTTTAACTTTTAATATCTGGCTTTTTTTTTTTTTTTTTTTTTTTTGTAGAGACAGAGTCTCACTTTATCGTCCTGGGTGCCGTAGTGTCACACAGCTCACAGCAACCTTCAATTCCTGGGCTTAGGTGATTCTCCTGCCTCAGCCTCCTGAGTAGCTGGGACTACAGGTGCTGGCTACAACACCTGGCTATTTTTTTTGTTGTTGCAGTTTGGCAGGGCCAGGTTTGAATGCATGGCCCATGGTACATGGGGCCAGCATCCTACCCACTGAGCCACGGGCGCCACCCCTGGCTTGTTTTTTTAATCTTTACAGAATAATGTTTGAGAATGTATGATGCCTTTACACATAATAGGGAATATAGGAGGAGAATTAATTTTTTAAAATCATTGCTTGCATTATGGGGATTTTTTTTTAAGTCTTTTGACATATGGTCTATATTTTTTATCATAGCCAGTGATGATTCACATTTATTTTTAGGTAAATGGGTATCCTTTAAGTTCAAAATTTTACTAAAAGAAAAATGTAAACTTGAAAACAGATGGGTTACTGGATTTTAAAATGAAGTCTAGATGCAAGTCCAGATTCTCTGGATGGCATCAGTCAGCAAATCATTTATTTTATAGAATTTACCAAATTATTCATCCTTGCTTATTTTTCTTAGAATGCATAAACTTGTGAAACCTTCCACTGAAAAGAAATACGTGGATCTCACTGTGTCATTTGCCCCAGATGCTGATGGAGATGAAGACCTGCCTGGGCCTCCAGTGAGGTACTACTTCAGCCCTGGTGCTGATTAGTGTAACTTGTCCTAGGTCATTCCAGAACCACTTGATTTGGGGAAGAGTGCACTTAATTCAGAAGCTAAAAAAATCAACTCATCATACTCTGGATTTCTCTTTGATGAAGCCTTAATTTAAGGAAAACATCAGTATGAAACTGCACTGGAAAATTGTAAGACATTTTGAAGCATACTAAACACTTGTCTAACGGTTCACACGCGGTTATGAACACCTGCAACTTTGAGCTGGAATGCCATTTTGTAATACTTAAGACAGATTTGTGTATTTATCTGTTTGGATAAAAAGAAGGAAAAATATTTACAACCAGAGATGATAAGGATCAAGAAACTGAAAGTAACAAATATGGCTCAGTGCCCGTAGCACAATGGTTACAGCCTCAGCCACATGCACTAAGGGTGGCAAGTTGAACCTGGCCTGGGCCTGCTAAACAACAACAACAATGAAAAAAGAAAAATAGCTGGGTGTTGTTGCAAGTACCCGTAGTCCCAACTACTTGGAAGGCTGAGATAAGAGAATCTCTTAAGCTCAAGAGTTTGAGGTTGCTGTGAGCTGTGACCCTACAGCACTCTATGGAGGGTGACATAGTAAGACTCTGTCTCAAAAAAAAATGAAAAAAGAAAGAAAGTAACAAATGCAACTATCCAAAAACCTTAATCCTATTTTATGAATTTTTGCTTGTTTGTTTAGTATTTGAGACCCTTTTCTTTATAAAAATAGTGACACCTTGTATTTGTCCTAGGATTAGGCTTGAGAATTTAATATCATATGAGAAGTAAGGATGGCAGCAGTGGATAAAGAATAGACATTTAAATTGTGCTGTTAGTATTAGTGCTGTTACCTTTGACAGTTTCGCCAGAGTTTGTTACAGTATATACTGTCTCCCAGAAATCAAGATTTGTATTGATAACATCTGCAATGTAAGCCATGAGCAGTAGGTCAGATGACACATGTTAACTTGGACTCAAGGTTAGCAGTATCATATGGGCTCTGACAACCAATTTAGATAATCCGTGAATGTGAACAGGCACATGTGGCTAATCATTTGATTTTTCAGTATGCCTTCTAATGCGGCTGTTTTTTTTATTTAAAACTCTAAACATAATTGTCGTAGTGTATAAGACTAAAAGGTTTTCTGAGGGGAGTATCCTAGAAAATGAAAACTAGAGATTAAAAAATCATCACTAGTAGAATCTTGATTTTTTTTCATCCAAAAACCTAATGAATAGAAAAAAATAATATTTTTATTTTAAAAGAAAGCATTTTATTTCCCATTTCCAGAAAGGGAGATAACAAAGGTAAAAATTTATTTTTTTAGGTCTTTATTAAGAAAAACCTTCTGTTTTCTGACATGAACTATTGCAGTTGTTGAAATAAGTGCTTTCATTAAAATGAGATAAACAGTATTCAATACTGTAAACTCAGTGAGAACAACTAGTGATCCTTTTATTACTAAGGCTTATCATGCCTTATAAAGCAGTTGGAATCTTGTGACTGTAGGAAATCCTGTCCCTCCTGCTCTTTTCCTTGTACTCCCTGTTCAGACCATTAATAGGCACTTTGATAAATCAAAAAGCAGATGTACATCAGTGTTACTCCAATTTGGTATCTTTTTATACTCTGTACTTTGATTCCATTTACAAATAGTATAAATTGCTTTGACAAGTGTGGGTTTTTGGTAAAAATATCATCTAATTGAGGAAGTATGTTTGGGAAAGTGAATTGTATGATTAAAGGATAATTAATGTGTGTTGGGAGCTGGGATTCCAGAAGTAAGCAGCTGTCATCTCACTCTGTCCTCCTCTCTCAGTGTGCAAATTCCAAGTGAATACTTAAAATTAATGATGTGGACTACAGAGGACAGGAATAATAAAAGGACTTTTGTATAAAAGAAGCCTTTTTCCACTTTTACTTTGTTTTGTGCTCTTTGAAAGTAACTGATACCTTCCCAGTAGCCATCCAGCAAACCTGAAGTATGACGTAATAGCTTGCTTACATTTTTTTTATTTTTATATTTTGTCCAAGTCTCTACATCTCTTCAGAATTAAATTTAGAGCCATACTATGAGTTTCTCTTTATAGACATCAATGAGATATGAACAAAATCAATAAGGATGAAGTTAATGTTGTAATTTAACCTGCCACCATTTTGTTATTACTTTTTTTCTGTAGATAATGGTTATTGCCATCATTTATTTATTTCTGATAAGCTAGAAAGCCAGGGTGAAGCTAATGACAGTTCTCATTTTGTTAATTACTATGCCACGAGATCACTGTTGGTGATTAAAATGCCAAGTGCAAAAAGTAATGATTTGATTTTTGTATAATTCCACTAATTTTTTACTTATTAAGAAATAAATTACAAATTATAAATAAATCAAGAAATTTGAGAATATCTTTGTAAATCTTGTTCCATAGTTGATTCATAGAGATTCTGGTCCTGCTGTTCATTTTGTGATGTGCTTTTGGTGTTTCCTGATTTTGAGGTTTTGTGTCATCAGGAAACAGCATAGCCAGTGGGCTAAGGAGGTACTTTAATTCAGAGTACTTTGGGTCCTCTAAATTCTTATAAAACAGTTGGAGAGAAATAGTTGTGACCATGTGAAATTGTGATCTGGTAAACCCTGGTCCAGGGGATTTCTAAAGTGCTTTCCTTTGTGGAATTTTAAAGCAGTTATGTTACTTGTCTGTAAGTTCCTTATAAAGTGACCCACGTAAAACTTCGAAGTAAATGTGAACCCTTATTTTATCTTTATCTGCTGTGGCATACTCTGGTGTTAATAGTGACAGAACATTAAAAAAGAAAATCACAATATTTAGAGTATTATTTTATTAAGTAGTAAAATGAAGACAAAGTTTTTTTCTTGAGATCTTCAGGAAAAAATCTATTTAATTTTTTCAACTATAATATAGTTCATTGTGATTGTAAATATCTAATCATTTAGTACACAATCTCTAGGTTTGAGTTTAATGATTTTGCTTTTCACAGATTCAAAAAAATCAGGCAGTTGAGATCAGAGTAAGTATAAATTGGTAATTTGTGTTCAATTCTGTCTTTGTACATCTTAATTTTGTTTTTGTAATGGAGAAATACATGTTTAAAAATATTTATACAGAAGAGTAGTACATAAGATATACAATTTAGAAAAACTTTTAGAGTAACTGTGTAGCCAGCAGTTGGGATAACAGAGCACTGACCCCAGTCAGAACCCCCAGGTGACCCCTTCCCACTAAAGGTAACAGCACTGACTACTTCAGAAACCCACCCAGGTACTCCTTCCCACTATAGGTCACAGAGCACTGACCACATCAGAAACCCACCCTGTGACGCTCTCCCACTCATAGCCAGCTGCCCACACACCTGGTACCTGCCACCGTCCTGCCTTTTGTGATACTGTCTCACTCTTCCAGGGCTACCATCTGTGCACTAACCCCAAGTAACACAGTTTTCTTGGTTTTGATTTTATATGGAAAGATCATACTTTGCTTCTTTGATTTCACACGTGAGCTGTCCATGGTGCTTGTAGTGCTATTTTGTTCCTCTTCATTGCCACAATTTACCTTTTGTTTTAATAAATAGTGAGTTACTAATTCTGTAGACTGACAATTGGGATGTTTTTAGTTTGGGGCAATCACAGTTCCATTGAACTGTGAACATTGTGTTATATGTATCTTCTGGTACAAATAAGATAGTACTATTTAGGAGTAGAATTGCTTGGTATTCATAGCTTAAATTTTATTAGATGATTGCATTATTTTTCCTGAGCATTAGAGCTATCTTCATGTTTTGGTCAACATGGTACTAACAGACTTTTTTATTTTGCCCAGCTACTGAATACGCAGGTGTATCTCATTGAAATTTTACTCTCCCTTTTCCTGAATACAACTGAAGTTGAGCACCTTTTCATAAGTTCACTAACCACTTCGACTTTCTTTTTTTTTGTAAAATTTCTTGTCAAGTCTATCACATATTTTTTTGTTGTGTTGGCCACTTTTTCTTGATTCATAGAAGGTCTTTCTAAATCCTATTTTTTTGTTAGCTGTGTAGGTGCAATTTTCTTCTATTCTGTGGCTTTCCTTTCCCTCTCTATATGATGATCTTGGATGAATTTGTTAATGGTTGGAGACTGAGAAGTATCAATTTTTTGCTTTAAAATTGGAGGTTTTTCTGATTTTTAAAAGACGATTCCCTGCCCTCAGGTCATGAAGATACTCTTCTCTATCCTCTAAAAGTGTTAATTTTCCCTTTTACATGTAAGTTTTGCACATGTTAGGAAGTACCTCACCACTATTTACTGAAAAGTCTGATTTTTCTCTCTTTTCTTCAGTGCCACTAATATTATGTATTATATCTGTACATCTGTATGTCTCTTTCTAAATTTTTCTTCCTTCTTTGCTATCACTGTGTTAATATACTGTCTTTGCCACTGTAGCTGATACATTCTTTGTTATCTGGAAGCAAATCTTCTGAATTTACTATTCTGATAGAGCAGGGCTGTCCTGCCTGCAACCTGAAGGCCACATAGCCACCAGGATGGCTATGAGTGGGGCCCAAATCAAAATCATAAATTTCCTTAAAATATTGTGAGATGTTTCTGTGACTTTTTTTTTGATGGAACTTGATTGTGTGTTTCTGGAGCATATTCTTTGTAGATGACATCATGTCACAGTGTCACCTAAACACATATTATCACTATTTATATTCACATGGCTTCAGTTTTACGTGACGTGTGGCTTCCAAGTCAATAGTGATTGACACCATCAGATTTTACCAGTGCTCGTGGTAAAATCACCCCGATTATCAGTAAATATTTCAACCTACCATTGCAGCATTAGATATTTGGTGTCATTTAGAAGTCAGGAGGTAGCATTCTTCCACACCTTGGTGCCTCACACACCACCTGCCGCACTTTACAGTCAGCCGCCTCTGCATCAGCAGCCAAAGTGTGGAAGGGCCCAACCTTACTTTCTACTTCCCTGTCAATTTTCACAATAAATGTGAATATAGTTCCTTATCTATTAATATTTTAATGCCAGCATAACTTCTACAATGTCTCAAAAGAAAACAGACCTCCAAAAAAGAAAAATTATGGATGAGGGAAGATGTGTCAGTGGAAAGTGGACAGATCCAACTTTGTTAAGGTGAACAGTGGGGCTCTTAAGCTTTTCATCTCCAGTGGTTCTGGGGAGCAAGCACCTTGTTAAAGTTGGTTTCCCAGCCTCCCAGCAGCTTCTCGGTGTCCGGAGTTACACTGTCAGCTGCCAATCTGAAGCTGTGTCTGCTGGACTTAAATGTGAGGTTGCACGTATTTCCCACCTTTTTTGTAGTGTGGTGCAGCATGGAGTGTTGTGTTCACATGGATGGCTGTGCTGCCAGAGCTTTTTTACTTGTGACTCTGTAAAACAAGATAGTTCACTTGTTTTAAAGGCATG